ATGGATGGAAGGCTTATGACTGTTATTGGACAGAATTTAAAAAATAAATGTCATTAATGTTTATTTGTACATTTTGAGTTTGTTTATTTTTCTCACTTTAACAGATGAAAATAAACAAGTGAGATGGGGAACTTTTCGTTTTTCATTTAGTTGCATAATAATTCTGCACACTAATAGTTGCCCAATAATTCTGCACACGTAGATATTCTCCAAAGAAAGCCAAAACCTCACTTTTACTTTCTTAAATATTCATGTTTGAGGTTTATTAACATTTTGGATTGACCGAGAGCACTGTAATTCCTACACCCGTTCACCCCATTTGGATGTAAATACCTTCAAATTAAAGCTGAAAGTCTGCACTTTCAGCTCATATTCATTATTTAATTTCAACTCTAATATGCTGTGGTAGACAGCTACAATAATACTAACTTGGTCAACATCTCATTCCAAAATCATGGAGTTGGTCCCCCCTTTGCTGCTATAACAGCCTCCACTCTTCTGGGAAGGCTTTCCACTAGATGTTGGAACATTGCTGCGGGGGACTTGCTTCCATTCAGCCACAAGAGCATTAGTGAGGTCGGGCACTGATGTTGGGCGATTAGGCCTGGCTCGCAGTCGGCTTTCCAATTCATCCCAAAGGTGTTCGATGGGGTTGAGGTCAGGGCTCTGTGCAGACCAGTCAAGTTCTTCCACACCGATCTCAACAAACCATTTCTGTATGGACCTAGCTTTATGCATGGGGGCATTGTCATGCTGAAACAGGAAAGGGCCTTCCCCAAACTGTTGCCACAAAGTTGGAAGCACAGAATCGTCTAGAATGTCATTGTATGCTGTAGCGTTAAGATTTCCCTTCACTGGAATTAAGGGGCCTAGCCCGAACCATGAAAAACAGCCCCAGACCATTATTCATCCTCCACCAAACTTTACAGTTGGCACTATGCAATGGGGCAGGAAGCGTTCTCCTGGCATCCGCCAAACCCAGATTCATCTGTCGGACTGCCAGATGGTGAAGCGTGATTCATCACTCCAGAGAACGTGTTTCCACTGCTCCAGAGTCCAATGGCGGCGAGCTCTAGCAGGGGAGAAATTTGACGAACTGACTTGTTGGAAAGGTGGCATCCTATGACGGTGCCACGTTGAAAGTCACTGAGTTCTTCAGTAAGGCCATTCTACTGCCAATGTTTGTCTGTGGAGATTGCATGGCTGTGTGCTCGATTTTATACACCTGTCAACAACAGGTGTGGCTGAAATAGAATCCACTAATTTGAAGGGGCGTCCACATACTTTTGTATATATAGTGTATTTCTGTATTTCATTTTCAATAAATTTACAAACATTTCTAAAAACATGTTTTCACTTTCTCATTATTGATGGGTGAGTGGGGAAAAAGATATACATTTAGCTAGTATAGTTCCTTCTACACAATAGTATTCTCTTGAAATCGGAGTTCCTCGAGTTTCCCAGCCAAATGCCTGCCTAGGCAATAAGCCTGTGATCGAAAATCAACACAGGTAGGCATAACGTTATTGTTTTCAGATATATATTATTGGCACTGGCAGTATTACTGTCAACACTAAATAGACGTTTAGTTATTCATGTCACAATTCCAGACGTAACAACAACACAGTGTTCTATGTGCTCTATTTCTATTTCTAGGCTTCCAGTTCTTAAGTTTAGTTTTTGCGTCTTTTACTTTCGGTTTTGTCCACCAGCTTCAAACAGCTGAAAATACAACATTTTTGGTTATGGAGATTATATTTCACAGCGGTTTACATTGATTCTCTACACTATACTTTGCTTGTTTTGTCGCAAACTGGAATTAGGAAAACTATTCACATTTTTACAACCAGGAAATGGCGGAGCGAAGTGTGGTAGTGCAGGTCCTAGTTCAGTTCTTACTGTGGTAGTGCAGGTCCTAGTTCAGTTCTTACTGTGGTAGTGCAGGTCCTAGTTCAGTTCTTACTGTGGTAGTGCAGGTCCTAGTTCAGTTCTTACTGTGGTAGTGCAGGTCCTAGGTCAGTTCTTACTGTGGTAGTGCAGGTCCTAGTTCAGTTCTTACTGTGTGGTAGTGCAGGTCCTAGGTCAGTTCTTACTGTGGTAGTGCAGGTCCTAGTTCAGTTCTTACTGTGGTAGTGCAGGTCCTAGGTCAGTTCTTACTGTGGTATTGCAGGTCCTAGGTCAGTTCTTACTGTGGTAGTGCAGGTCCTAGGTCAGTTCTTACTGTGGTAGTGCAGGTCCTAGTTCAGTTCTTACTGTGGTAGTGCAGGTCCTAGTTCAGTTCTTACTGTGGTAGTGCAGGTCCTAGTTCATCTTACTGGGTAGTGCAGGTCCTAGTTCAGTGCGTACGTGTAGTGCAGGTCCTAGTTCAGTTCTTACTGTGGTAGTGCAGGTCCTAGTTCAGTTCTTACTGTGTGGTAGTGCAGGTCCTAGTTCAGTTCTTACTGTGGTAGTGCAGGTCCTAGTTCAGTTCTTACTGTGGTAGTGCAGGTCCTAGTTCAGTTCTTACTGTGGTAGTGCAGGTCCTAGTTCAGTTCTTACTGTGGTAGTGCAGGTCCTAGGTCAGTTCTTACTGTGGTAGTGCATGTCCTAGTTCAGTTCTTACTGTGGTAGTGCAGGTCCTAGTTCAGTTCTTACGTGTGGTAGTGCAGGTCCTAGTTCAGTTCTTACTGTGTGGTAGTGCAGGTCCTAGTTCAGTTCTTACTGTGGTAGGCAGGTCTAGTTCAGTTCTTACTGTGTGGTAGTGCAGGTCCTAGTTCAGTTCTTACTGTGGTAGTGCAGGTCCTAGTTCAGTTCTTACTGTGTGGTAGTGCAAGGTCCTAGTTCAGTTCTTACTGGGGTAGTGCAGGTCCTAGTTCAGTTCTTACTGTTGGTAGTGCAGGTCCTAGTTCAGTTCTTACTGTGGTAGTGCAGGTCCTAGTTCAGTTCTTACTGTGTGGTATGCAGGTCCTAGTTCCAGTTCTTACTGTGGTAGTGCAGGTCCTAGTTCAGTTCTTACTGTGGTAGTGCAGGTCCTAGTTCAGTTCTTACTGTGGTAGTGCAGGTCCTAGTTCAGTTCTTACTGTGGTAGTGCAGGTCCTAGGTCAGTTCTTACTGTGGTAGTGCAGGTCCTAGTTCAGTTCTTACTGTGGTAGTGCAGGTCCTAGTTCAGTTCTTACTGTGGTAGTGCAGGTCCTAGTTCAGTTCTTACTGTGGTAGTGCAGGTCCTAGTTCAGTTCTTACTGTGGTAGTGCAGGTCCTAGTTCAGTTCTTACTGTGGTAGTTCAGGTCCTAGTTCAGTTCTACTGTGGTAGTGCAGGTCCTAGTTCAGTTCTTACTGTGGTAGTGCAGGTCCTAGTTCAGTTCTTACTGTGGTAGTGCGGTCCTATTCAGTTCTTACTGTGGTAGTGCAGGTCCTAGTTCAGTTCTTACTGTGGTAGTGCAGGTCCTAGTTCAGTTCTTACTGTGGTAGTGCAGGTCCTAGTTCAGTTCTTACTGTGGTAGTGCAGGTCCTAGTTCAGTTCTTACTGTGGTAGTGCAGGTCCTAGGTCAGTTCTTACTGTGGTAGTGCAGGTCCTAGGTCAGTTCTTACTGTGGTAGTGCAGGTCCTAGTTCAGTTCTTACTGTGGTAGTGCAGGTCCTAGTTCAGTTCTTACTGTGGTAGTGGCAGGTCCTAGTTCAGTTCTTACTGTGGTAGTGCAGGTCCTAGTTCAGTTCTTACTGTGGTAGTGCAGGTCCTAGTCAGTTCTTACTGTGGTATTGCAGGTCCTAGTTCAGTTCTTACTGTGGTAGTGCAGGTCCTAGTTCAGTTCTTACTGTGGTAGTGCAGGTCCTAGGTCAGTTCTTACTGTGGTAGTGCAGGTCCTAGTTCAGTTCTTACTGTGGTAGTGCAGGTCCTAGTTCAGTTCTTACTGTGGTAGTGCAGGTCCTAGTTCAGTTCTTACTGTGGTAGTGCAGGTCCTAGTTCAGTTCTTACTGTGGTAGTGCAGGTCCTAGTTCAGTTCTTACTGTGGTAGTGCAGGTCCTAGTTCAGTTCTTACTGTGGTAGTGCAGGTCCTAGTTCAGTTCTTACTGTGGTAGTTGCAGGTCCTAGTTCAGTTCTTACTGTGGTAGTGCAGGTCCTAGTTCAGTTCTTACTGTGGTAGTGCAGGTCCTAGTTCAGTTCTTACTGTGGTAGTGCAGGTCCTAGTTCAGTTCTTACTGTGGTAGTGCAGGTCCTAGTTCAGTTCTTACTGTGGTAGTGCAGGTCCTAGGTCAGTTCTTACTGTGGTAGTGCAGGTCCTAGTTCAGTTCTTACTGTGGTAGTGCAGGTCCTAGGTCAGTTCCTAGGTCCAGTTCTTGTGGTCGTGCAGGGTCCTAGTTCAGTTTCTTACTTGGTGCAGGTCCTAGTTAAGTTCTTACTGTGGTAGTGCAGTTCCTTATGTTCGGTCTTACTGTGGTAGTGCAGGTCATAGTTCAGTTCTTACTGTTGGTAGTGCAGGTTCCTAGTTCAGCTTCTACTTTGTGGTTAGTGCAGGTTCCTTAGGTCAGTTCTTACTGTGGTAGTGCAGGTCCTAGTTCAGTTCTTACTGTGGTAGTTTAGTGCAGGGTCCTAGTTTCAGTTCTTACTGTGGTAGTGCAGGTCCTAGTTCAGTTCTTACTGTGTTGTGCAGGTCCTCGTTCAGTTCTTACTGTGGTACTCCAGTCCTTAGGTCAGTTTCTTACTGGTGGTAGTGCAGGTCCTAGCGTCAGTTCTTCCTGTGGTAGCTGCAGGGTCCTAGTTCAGTTCTTACTGTGGTAGTGCAGGTCACTAGGTCAGTTTCTTACTGTTGGTAGTGCCAGGAGGTCTAGTTCATGTTCTTACTGTGGTAGTGCAGGTCCTAGGTCAGTTCTTACTGGTAGTGACAGGGTCCTAGTTCAGTCTTACTGTGGTAGTGCAGGTCCAGTTCAGTTCTTACTGTGTGGTAGTGCAGGTCCTAGGTCAGTTCTTACTGTGGTAGTGCAGGTCCTAGTTCAGTTCTTACTGTGGTAGTGCAGGTCCTAGGTCAGTTCTTACTGTGGTAGTGCAGGTCCTTGCATGTAGCCTGGGGGTCACATCCTCCATTCTCCTCCAGACAGCGGTCGATGGGAGGAACCACCTTCTCCAGACACTGGAGCCCGTTCCCCACGTACCCATCAAGACACTCGCACTGACGCTCATTCTGATAGGATAAAACACATCAGGACATTACTATGTATAGTGACGCTCATTCATATTTCGTCAAACCATTTTTTCCAACTGTTTGCTAAGAGCTGGCAGCAAGCTGATAGGTCTGCTGTTAGAACCAGTAAAGGCAGCTTTACCACTCTTGGGTAGCGGAATTACTTTGGCTTCCCTCCAGGCCTGAGGACAAAGACTTTCCTCTAGGCTCAGATTAAAGATATGACAGATAGGAGTGGCTATAGAGTCAGCTACCATCCTCAGTAGCTTTCCATCTAAGTTGTCAATGCCAGGAGGTTTGTCATCAATGATCGATAACAATAATTTCTCCAACTCTCCCACACTAACTTTACAAAATTCTAACTTTTGTTTTTTTTGCATGAATACGATGGCTCACTGTTCGTTGTTGGCATTTCCTGCCTAAGGTTGCCCACTTTGCCAATGAAGTAATAATTAAAATAATTGGCAACATCAAATGGTTTTGTGATGAATAAGCCATCTGATTTGATGAAAGATGGAGTTGAATTTGTCTTTCTGCCCATAATTTCATTTAAAGTACTCAAGTTTTTTTCCATCACTCTTTATATCATTGATCTTGGTTTCATAATACAGTTTCTTCTTCTTTTTGTTGAGTTTAGTCACATAATTTCTCTATTTGCAGTAAGTCAGCCAGTCAGATGTGCAACCAGACTTATTAGCCACTCCTTCTGCCCCGTCTCTTTCAACCAGACAGTTTTTCAATTCCTCATCAATCCATGGAGCCTTAACAGTTCTAACAATCAGTTTACTAACAGGTGCATGTTTATCAATCATTGGAAGAAGGAATTTCGTTAAATTCATCAAGTGCAGCGTCTGGATGCTCCTTATTAATCACATCAGACCAACAAATATTTTTAACATCATCCACATAAGAGTCACCGCTAAATCATTTGTATGATCTCTTATACACTATTTTAGGCCCAGCTGTTGGAACTTTGGCTTTCCTGGATATAGCCACTATATTGTGATCACTGCATCCAATGGGTACGGATACAGCTTTAGAACAAAGTTCTACAGTATTAGTAAAAATGTGATCAATACATGTGGATGATCTTGTTCCTGTAGTGTTTGTAAACACCCTGGCAGGTTGATTTAATAACCTGAACCAGATTACAGGCACTGGTTACAGTGAGAAGCTTCCTCTTGAGCGGACAGCTTGATGAAAACCAGTCAATATTCAGGTCCCCAAGAAAGTAGACCTCTCTGTATTTACATCACATACACTATCAAGCATTTCACACATATTATTTAGATACTGCATTCCTGTCTCTTCTAGAGATGTTATATCCTCGTATTGCTACTGCTGTATCAAATGAATTATCTAAGTGAGTCTCAGAAATGGCTACTATATGAATGTTATCGGATGTTAGCAAGTTATTGATTTCATGAACCATATTTCTAAGGCTACAGTGGCTTGCGAAAGTATTCACCCCCCTTGGCATTTTTCCTATTTTGTTGCCTTACAACCTGGAATTAAAATTGATTTTTGGGGGTTTGTATCATTTGATTTACACAACATGCCTACCACTTTGAAGATGCAACATATATTTTATTGTGAAAGAAACAAGAAATAAGACAAAAAAACAGAACTTGAGCGTGCATACAGTGGGGAGAACTAGTATTTGAAACACTGCCGATTTTGCAGGTATTCCTACTTACAAAGCATGTAGAGGTCTGTAATTTTTATCATAGGTACACTTCAACTGTGAGAGACGGAATCTAAAACAAAAATCCAGAAAATCACATAGTATGATTTTTAAGTAATTAATTTGCATTTTATTGCATGACATACAGTGGGGAAAAAGTATTTAGTCAGCAACCAATTGTGCAAGTTCTCCCACTTAAAAAGATTAGAGAGGCCTGTAATTTTCATCATAGGTACATGTCAACTATGACAGACAAAATGAGAAGAAAAAAATCCAGAAAATCACATTGTAGGATTTTTAATGAATTGATTTGCAAATTATGGTGGAAAATAAGTATTTGGTCAATAACAAAAGTTTCTCAATACTTTGTTATATACCCTTTGTTGGCAATGACACAGGTCAAACGTTTTCTGTAAGTCTTCACAAGGTTTTCACACACTGTTGCTGGTATTTTGGCCCATTCCTCCATGCAGATCTCCTTTAGAGCAGTGATGTTTTGGGGCTGTCGCTGGGCAACACAGACTTTCAACTCCCTCCAAAGATTTTCTATGGGGTTGAGATCTGGAGACTGGCTAGGCCACTACAGGACCTTGAAATGCTTCTTACGAAGCCACTCCTTCGTTGCCCGGGCAGTGTGTTTGGGATCATTGTCATGCTGAAAGACCCAGCCACGTTTCATCTTCAATGCCCTTGCTGATGGAAGGAGGTTTTCACTCAAAATCTCACGATACATGGCCCCATTCATTCTTTCCTTTACATGGATCAGTCGTCTTGGTCCCTTTGCAGAAAAACAGCCCCAAAGCATGATGTTTCCACCCCCATGCTTCACAGTAGGTATGGTGTTCTTTGGATGCAACTCAGCATTCTTTGTCCTCCAAACACGACGAGTTGAGTTTTTACCAAAAAGTTATATTTTGGTTTCATCTGACCATATGACATTCTCCCAATCCTCTTCTGGATCATCCACATGCACTCTAGCAAACTTCAGACAGGCCTGGACATGTACTGGCTTAAGCAGGGGGACACGTCTTGCACTGCAGGATTTGAGTCCCTGGCGGCGTAGTGTGTTACTGATGGTAGGCTTTGTTACTTTGGTCCCAGCTCTCTGCAGGTCATTCACTAGGTCCCCCCGTGTGGTTCTGGGATTTTTGCTCACCGTTCTTGTGATCATTTTGACCCCAAGGGGTGAGATCTTGCGTGGAGCCCCAGATCGAGGGAGACTATCAGTGGTCTTGTATGTCTTCCATTTCCTAATAATTGCTCCCACAGTTGATTTCTTCAAACCAAGCTGCTTACCTATTGCAGATTCAGTCTTCCCAGCCTGGTGCAGGTCTACAATTTTGTTTCTGGTGTCCTATGACAGCTCTTTGGTCTTGGCCATAGTGGAGTTTGGAGTGTGACTGTTTGAGGTTGTGGACAGGTGTCTTTTATACTGATAACAAGTTCAAACAGGTGCCATTAATACAGGTAACAAGTGGAGGACAGAGGAGCCTCTTAAAGAAGAAATTACAGGTCTGTGAGAGCCAGAAATCTTGCTTGTTTGTAGGTGACCAAATACTTATTTTCCACCATAATTTGCAAATAAATTCATAAACAATCCTACAATGTGATTTTCTGGATTTTTTTTCCTCAATATGCCTGTCATAGTTGACGTGTACATATGATGAAAATTACAGGCCTCTCTCATCTTTTTAAGTGGGAGAACTTGCACAATTGGTGGCTGACTAAATACTTTTTTCCCCCACTGTAAGTATTTGATACATCAGAAAAGCAGAACTTAATATTTGGTACAGAAACCTTTGTTTGCAATTACAGAGATCATACGTTTCCGGTAGGCAGCAGGGATTTTGGCCCACTCCTCCATACAGACCTTCTCCAGATCCTTCAGGTTTCGGGGCTGTCGCTGGGCAATACGGACTTTCAGCTCCCTCCAAAGATTTTCTATTGGGTTCAGGTCTGGAGACTGGCTAGGCCACTCCAGGACCTTGAGATGCTTCTTACGGAGCCACGCCTTAGTTGCCACGACCCATCTTCAATGCTCTTACTGAGGGAAGGAGGTTGTTGACCAAGATCTCGCGATACATGGCCCCATCCATCCTCCCCTCAATACGGTGCAGTCGTCCTGTCCCCTTTGCAGAAAAGCATTCCCAAATAGTGATGTTTCCACCTCCATGCTTCACGGTTGGGATGGTGTTCTTGGGGTTGTACCCATCCTTCTTCTTCCTCCAAACACGGCGAGTGGAGTTTAGACCAAAAAGCTCTATTTTTGTCTCATCAGACCACATGACCTTCTCCCATTCCTCCTCTGGATCATCCAGATGGTCATTGGCAAACTTTAGACGGGCCTGGACATGCGCTGGCTTGAGCAGGGGGACCTTGCGTGCGCTGCAGGATTTTAATCCATGACGGCGTAGTGTGTTACTAATGGTTTTCTTTGAGACTGGTCCCAGCTCTCTTCAGGTCATTGACCAGGTCCTGCCGTGTAGTTCTGGGCTGATCCCTCACCTTCCTCATGATCATTGATGCCCCACGAGGTGAGATCTTGCATGGAGCCCCAGACCGAGGGTGATTGACCGTCATCTTGAACTTCTTCCATTTTGTAATAATTGCGCCAACAGTTGTTGCCTTCTCACCAAGCTGCTTGCCTATTGTCCTGTAGCCCATCCCAGCCTTGTGCAGGTCTACAATTTTATCCCTGATGTCCTTACACAGCTCTCTGGTCTTGGCCATTGTGGAGAGGTTGGCGTCTGTTTGATTGAGTGTGTGGACAGGTGTCTTTTATACAGGTAACGAGTTCAAACAGGTGCAGTAATACAGGTAATTTACATTTTAGTCCTTTAGTAGACGCTCTTATCCAGAGCGACTTACAGTTAGTGAATACATATATATTATTTTTTTCATACTGGTCCCCCGTGGGAATCGAACCCACAACCCTGGCGTTGCAAACACCATGCTCTATCAACTGAGCTACATCCCTGCCGGCCATTCCCTCCCCTACCCTGGACAACGCTAGGCCAATTGTGCGCTGCCCATGAGTCTCCCGGTCGCGGCCGGCTGCGACAGAGCCTGGATTCGAACCAGGATCTCTAGTGGCACAGCTAGCACTGCGATGCAGTGCCTTAGACCACTATTGAGTTGAGAACAGGAGGGCTTCTTAAAGAAAAACAAACAGGTCTGTGAGAGCCGGAATTCTTATTGGTTGGTAGGTGATCAAATACTTATGTCATGCAATAAAATGCAAATTAATTATTATCTTTAAGTCATACCACAGATTCTCAATTGGATTGAGGTCTGGGCTTTGACTAGGCCATTCCAAGACATTTAAATGTTTCCCCTTAAACCACTCGAGTGTTGCATTAGCAGTATGCTTAGGGTCATTGTCCTGCTGGAAGGTGAACCTCCGTCCCAGTCTCAAATCTCTGGAAGACTGAAACAGGTTTCCCTCAAGAAATTCCCTCTATTTAGCGCCATCCATCATTCCTTCAATTCTGACCAGTTTCCCAGTCCCTGCCAATGAAAAACATCCCCACAGCATGATGCTGCCACCACCATGCTTCACTGTGGGGATGGTGTTCTCGGGGTGATGAGAGGTGTTGGGTTTGCGCCAGACATAGCGTTTTCCTTGATGGCCAAAAAGCTCAATTTTAGTCTCATCTGACCAGAGTACCTTCTTCCATATGTTTGGGGAGTCTCCAACATGCCTTTTGGCGAACACCAAACGTGTTTGCTTATTTTTTTCTTTAAGCAATGGCTTTTTTCTGGCCACTCTTCCGTAAAGCCCAGCTCTGTGGAATGTACGGCTTAAAGTGGTCCTATGGACAGATACTCCAATCTCCGCTGTGGAGCTTTGCAGCTCCTTCAGGGTTATCTTTGGTCTCTTTGTTGCCTCTGATTAATGCCCTCCTTGCCTGGTCCATGAGTTTTGGTGGGTGGCCCTCTCTTGGCAGGTTTGTTGTGGTGCCATATTCTTTCCATTTTTTAATAATGGATTTGATGGTGCTCCGTGGGATGTTCAAAGTGTCTGATATTTTTTTTATAACCCAACCCTGATCTGTACTTCTCCACAACTTTGTCCCTGACCTGTTTGGAGAGCTCCTTGGTCTTCATGGTGCCGCTTGCTTGGTGGTGCCCCTTGCTTAGTGGTGTTGCAGACTCTGGGGCCTTTCAGAACAGGTGTATATATACTGAGATCATGTGACACTTAGATTGCACACAGGTGGACTTTATTTAACTAATTATGTGACTTCTGAAGGTAATTGGTTGCACCAGATCTTATTTAGGGGTTTCATAGCAAAGGGGGTGAATACATTCTGCATGAACCACTTTTACGTTATTTATTTTTTAGAATCTTTTTAAACAAGTTATTTTTTTCATTTCACTTCACCAATTTGGACTATTTTGTGTATGTCCATTACATGAAATCCAAATAAAAATCCATTTAAATTACAGGTTGTAATGCAACAAAATAGGAAAAAAACGCCAAGTGGGATGAATACTTTGGCAATTTTTTCAGCCCTTTCCTGGGCAGCTTATCAGAGATAGACATAATATGGAAAATAACAAAATATATACATTCAGCAGCCCATTAATCAATTGGTGTGTGTGTGCTGCAGGTTAAGTTAAAGCTACGAACCCAAAGGCTTGGCTCTCTCATCCCTTCCAGCCTGTTTGGAGGGAGGGTGGACAATGAGCCTGTCATAGCGGACGTATGCAATGTCTCCAAGGGCTCTGGCAGCTTTTATGGCTGGGATAAATTCTTTCCTCTTCTGGCGCACAGCTTCAGGATAGTCCTCGTTGAGGAAGATATACGTTCCTCTCAAGTTCTTGGCTCTTTCCAGAACAGCTACCTTGTCCTTGAACCTCAGGAACTTGGCCACTATCTGCCTGTCACCTGGGCTGGTGGTGGGTTATCCAGCTAATCATGGCTACCCGGACTATTTGCATTGTCCCCCCACCCCCGGACTATTTGCATTGTCCCCCCACCCCCGGACTATTTGCATTGTCCAACCACCCCCGGACTATTTGCATTATTTTTTTACTTATCAATTTCTTTACTTAACACTTATTTTTCTTAAAACTGCATTGTTGGTTAAGGGCTTGTACGTAAGCATTTCACTGTAAGGTCTACACCTGTTGTATTCGGCGCATGTGGCAAATATAATTTGATTTGATTTGATAGTAGCGGTCCCAGCAACTGATGCCAACCACGTCGCAGGATCAAAACTCAAAAAGGTAGCTAGTTAGTAACCAGACTTTATCACTAGAACACTTTTTCAGAGACTTTCAAAACTTTACAAAACAACAAACCTGAGCTCTCCCTCGTTCCGTGTTCAACAGGAAGGAAAGACAATGGAGAAAGAGCCAGAAAAACGTTAATATGAAGCCACCACTCACAGGCCCTGTGAACAGGCAAGTAGCGAAGTCACTGCATCCTCCGTTGGTCTCTGCGACACACCTGTTGATAGGTGAGCAGACAGAGCCGTCACCCTCGTAGCCAGACAGACACGTACAGTTGACCTGCAGGTCTGTCTGGAGACAGGCTGCATGCTGGTGGCAGCCCCCGTTGTACTCCGCACACAGATCAGGAGCTGGGGGAGACAGAGAGGGAGAAGAATTAACACAAAACAGCAAGGCTTAGTCTCAAATGGCACCCTATTTCCTAATTAGTGCCCACATCTTCCATAGTGACTATAACAAACTACATAGCATCTAAAACAGCACCCTATTCCCTATATAGTGCACTACTCAAAATAAGTACTCTATCAGAAATAGGGTGCCATTTTGGACGCATCCCAAGACTCGCTAAACGTTGTTTCAGTCATGTTTAGGGCCAAGGAGTTTTTCCTGGTCAGGTCACATGGTCTGGGAAAAACTCTGGGCCCGTAGTCATGACGCACCACCCCCAAGAGTGTGGATTTAGAATGAATACATTGGATTAATCTATTAGCTAATTGGATTGTGGGTAATAAATGAGTTTAAATAATGATTCCAACCCACCGGTGCAGTTGAAGCCGTCCCCCACATACTGAGACTGACAGAGACAGATGTTGTTGGGCAGACACACAGCGTTGCTATGGCACTCTGGAGAACACACCAGCTTCTTCTCTGATTGGCCACAGTAGACAAAGTTATATCACACACGGCCCACACCTACAATACAACTTTATGTCCATAGTTACTTTTTATTATGTTATTGTTATTGTAGTCATTGTTATATTATAGTTTATTGTTATTATTACGTTGTATAGTTATTTTTCTAAAACAATTTATAGGTATTATTATAGTTATTATGATTATTATTTGGTAGTGGATGGGGCGGCAGGTAGCTTAGTGGTTAAGAGCGTTTGTGCCAGTAACATGAAAGGTCGCCTATGGTTCTAATCCCCGAGCCGACCTAGGTGAAAAATCTGCTCGATGTGCCCTTGATCAAGGCACTTAACCCTAAATTGCTCCTGAACGTCGCTCTGGATGTCCGTTTCGCCGAGCCTCTCCCTGGTTCGGGCAGCTATCTAGCTGCCCCGTCTATTTCTGTTGTTGGTTTGTCTTGATGTGTACACCTGTGTCTTGTTAGTCCTCGTTAGTGTCCTATTTAGTTCTCGTTGTGTGTGATTGCTCTTCTGTTTCGTGTTGGAGCTACGTACTTCCCTCCAGTGTTTTGGAGAGGTTTTTCGCACATGTTAGTGCGCCGTTTGTTTGACGCCTGTGTGCGCCGTTATTTTCGCCTTCGGGCTTATTGTGCTTATTTTCTACGTGAATATTGCACTAAAGTCTTTGGACTGAGCTTCTGCGTCCTGCGCTTGATTCATGCACCACACCCACTTCAGCACCCCTTGACACTGATAAGAGCGTCTGCTAAATAATGTTAATTATTATTATGTATTATTAGTTATTAATTATAGTTATAGTTATTACTATAAATGTTTATGTAGATGTTTTAAAAAATAGTTAGTTATTATGGTTATGTATTATTATTATATTATAATAGTAATTAGTTATTATACATACAGAGAAATGTCTTCTGCTCTCTTAATCGACCCCCCCCCCCACCACACCACACAGTTGAGAGTAGCACAGGGTGAAGCTGCAGTGCCCCTGGATGGAGAGCATGTTGAGGGGTTAAGGGCCTTGCTCAAGGGCCCAACGGTAGGGGATTGTTGTTAGGATATGAATTTAGCATCACTCCAGTTGCCAGATCAATTTCCCGCTTTTTTTTCTTCAGCACCCGGCCTGGGATTCGAACAGGCGACCTTTCGGCTACAGGTCCATCTCCTTAGCCTCTGGGCTACCTACCAACAATATACCACTACACGCACTCACGCAAAGCGTGGAGGTAGTAGACAAGATAATATTATGAATCTATTGTCTATTATAATAATAATAATATGCCATTTAGCAGACGCTTTTATCCAAAGCGACTTACAGTCATGCGTGCATACATTTTTTTGTGTATGGGTGGTCCCGGGAATCGAACCCACTACCTTGGCGTTACAAGCGCCGTGCTCTACCAGCTGAGCTACAGAGGACCAACCCCTTATGTCTAAAGCAAGATAATATTATGAATCTATTGTCTACTTGTGGGAAATGGTGTTTGTGGCATTGTGTAAATGGTATAACACATTAGTAGTTATAAAAGGTTCTCCAGCTGGATTAAAAAGGGAATCAGGTACTGGACAGAGGAACTTGAAAATCCCCAAAATACTCCTTCCCCCCCAGGACAGGTCTTTTTCCTTTCTGTTCCTGGATGGTCACCCGTTGAAGTGACATGGGATAAGGAATGTTTTTTAAAAAATGTAATAGTGTAGTTTCATAATAGCTAAATCAATGTTAACCTATTTTGAGGTGGCAGCGGTCTCCAGTCCAGGCCTCAGTGCAGGAGCAGCTCCCATCTCCCTCCATCCCCTCCTCACACCGGCCCTGATTGGTGCAGTTACACGCTGTACAGTTGGTTCCATAGTGATTGAGTTCACACAGCTCACAGGCCATTCCTCTGAAGCCATCGTGGCACCGGCACCGTCCCGACCCCAGCCGGCCATCATCGCAGTCCCCGTGCTCTCCACAAGTGGCCTCCAACCCACCAGAACACACTGAAACACATTGGTAGTGGATGAGGTGAGTTTACAATTAAACACATTGGTAGTGGATGAGGTGAGATTACACTGAAACGCATTGGTAGTGGATGAGGTGAGTTTACACTGAAACGCAGTGGATGAGGTGAGATTACACTGAAACACATTGGTAGTGGATGAGGTGAGATTACACTGAAACACATTGGCAGTGGATGAGGTGAGATTACACTGAAACACATTGGCAGTGGATGAGGTGAGATTACACTGAAACACATTGGTAGTGGATGAGGTGAGATTACACTGAAACACATTGGTAGTGGATGAGGTGAGATTACACTGAAACACATTGGTAGTGGATGAGGTGAGATTACACTGAAACACATTGGTAGTGGATGAGGTGAGATTACACTGAAACACATTGGTAGTGGATGAGGTGAGATTACACTGAAACACATTGGTAGTGGATGAGGTGAGATTACACTGAAACACATTGGTAGTGGATGAGGTGAGTTTAAAATGAAACACATTGGTATTTTATTAGGATCCCCATTAGCTGTTGCAAAAGCAGCAGCTACTCTTCCTTTATCTGTTTTTTGAAACCAGGTTTGCTGTTTATTTGAGCAATATGAGATGGAACGGAGTTCCATGCAATAATGGCTCTATATAATACTGTACGCTTTCTGGAATTTGTTCTGGATTTGGGGACTGAAAAGACCCCTGGTGGCATGTCTGGTGGGGTAAGTGTCTGTGTCAGAGCTGTGTGTAAGTTGACTATGCAAACAATTTGGGATTTTCAACACATTAATGTTTCTTATAAAAAGAATAAGTGATGCAGTCAGTCTCTCCTCAACTCTTAGCCAAGAGAGACTGGCATGCATAGTATTTATATCAGCCCTCTGATTACAATGAAGAGCAAGACGTGCCGCTCTGTTCTGGGCCAGCTGCAGCTTAACTAGGTATTTCCTTGCAGCACTCGACCACACGACTGGACAATAATCAAGATAAGACAAAACTAGAGCCTGCAGGACATGCTTTTTGGAGTGTGGTGTCAAAAAAGCAGAACATCTCTTTATCACGGACAGACCTCTCCCCATCTTTACAACAATTCAATCTATATATTTTGACCGTGACAGTTTAAAATCTAAGGTAACACCAAGTAATTTAGTCTCCTCAACTTGTTCAACAGCCACACCATTCACTACCAGATTCAGCTGAGGTCTAGAACTTAGGGAATGATTTGTACCAAATACAATGCTCTTAGATTTAGAGATGTTCAGGACCAGTTTATTAGTGGCCACCCATTCCAAAACAGACTGCAACTCTTTGTTAAGGGTTTCATTGACTTCATTAGCTGTGGTTGCTGATGCATATATGGTTGAATCATCAGCATACATGGACACACATGCTTTGTTTAATGCCAGTGGCAGGTCATTGGTAAAAATAGAAAAGAGTAGAGGGCCTAGAGATCTGCCCTGCGGTACACCACACTTTACATGTTTGACATTAGAGAAGCTTCCATTAAAGAAAACCCTTTGAGTTCTATTAGATAGATAGCTCTGAATCCACGATATGGCAGAGGTTGAAAAGCCAAAACACATGTTTTTTCAACAACAGGTTATGGTCAATAATATCAAAGGCTGCACTGAAATCTAACAATACAGCTTCCACAATCTTCTTATTATCAATTTATTTCAACCAATCATCAGTCATTTGTGTCAGTGCAGTACATGTTGAGTGCCCTTCTCTATAAGCATGCTGAAAGTCTGTTGTTAATTTGTTTACAGAGAAATAGCATTGTATTTGGTCAAAGACAATTTTTTCCAACTGTTTGCTAAGAGCTGGCAGCAATCTGATAGGTCTGCTATTAGAACCAGTAAAGGCTGCTTTACCACTCTTGGGTAGCGGAATTACTTTGGCTTCCCTCCAGGCCTGAGGACAAAGACTTTCCTCTAGGCTCAGATTAAAGATATGACAGATAGGAGTGGCTATAGAGTCAGCTACCATCCTCAGTAGCTTTCCATCTAAGTTGTCAATGCCAGGAGGTTTGTCATTATTGATCGATAACAAAAAAATGTCCACCTCTCCCACACTAACTTTACAAAATTCAAACTTGCAATGCTTTTCTTTCATTATTAGTTTTTTTATGCATGAATACGATGGCTCACTGTTCATTGTTGACATTTCCTGCCTAAGGTTGCCCACTTTGCCAATGAAGTAATCATTAAAATAATTGGCAACATCAAATGGTTTTGTGATGAATAAGCCATCTGATTCGATGAAAGATGGAGTTGAATTTGTCTTTCTGCCCATAATTTCATTTAAAGTACTTTTTTCCATCATTCTTTAGATCATTGATCTTGGTTTCATAATACAGTTTCTTCTTCTTTTTGTTGAGTTTAGTCACATCATTTCTCAATTTGCAGTAAGTCAACCAGTCAGATGTGCAGCCAGACTTATTAGCCACTCCTTTTGCCCCGTCTCTTTCAACCAGACAGTTTTTCAATTCCTCATCAATCCATGGAGCCTTAACAGTTCTAACAGTCAGTTTACTAACAGGTGCACCTTTATCAATAATTGGAAGAAGGAATTTTAATTTTGGTAGTGGATAAGGGTGAGTTTACACTGAAACACATTGGAACATATCGCTTTTGAAGTTTCCCCCTTTACAAAGTAAATCTCTGAGTGTTGTTATCATTCCTATGACAAGGTTGTACACCACTGCAAACAAACAGACATATACAGTGCATTCGGAAAGTATTCAGACCCCTTGACTTTTTCCACATTTTGTTACATTACAGCCTTATTCTAAAATGGATTTTTTTTTAAATAATTCTTATCAATCTACCAACAATACCCCAAAATGACAAAACGAAAATAGAGTTTTAGAAATTTTTGCGAATGTATTAGAAATAAAAAACCAAATAACCTAATTTACATAAGTACTCAGACCCTTTGCAATGAGACTCGGAATTGAGCTCAGGTGCATCCTGTTTCCATTGATCATCCTTGAGATGTTTCGACAACTTGATTGGAGTCCACCTGTGGTAAATTCAATTGATTGGACATGATTTGGAAATCACACACCTGTCTATATGAAGTCCCACAGTTGACAGTGCATGTCAGAGCAAAAACCAAGCCATGAGGTCGAAGGAATTGTCCGTAGAGCTCAGAGACAGGATTGTGTCAAGGCAATAAATAGGCTATAGTGCAAAATAATTACAATTAGTATTAACACTGGAATGATAGATGTGCAAGAGATGATGTGCAAATAGAGATACTGGGGTGCAAATGAGCAAAATAAATAACAATATGGGGATGAGGTAGTTGGGTGGGCTAATTTCAGATGGGCTGTGTACAGGTGCAGTGATCGGTAAGGTGCTCTGACAACTGATGCTTAAAGTTAGTGAGGGAGATAAGTGTCTCCAGCTTCAGAGATTTTTGCAATTCGTTCCAGTCATTGGCAGCAGAGAACTGGAAGGAATGGCGGCCAAAGGAGGTGTTGGCTTTGGGGATGACCAGTGAGATATACCTGCTGGAGCGCATACTACGGGTGGGTGTTGCTATGGAGACCAATGAACTAAGATAAGGCTGGGATTTGCCTAGCAGTGATTTATAGATGGCCTGGAGCCAGTGGGTTTGGCGACGAATATGTAGTGAGGGCCAGCCAACAAGAGTGTACAGGTCACAGTGGTGGGTAGTATATGGGGCTTTGGTGACAAAACGGATGGCACTGTGATAGACTACATCCAATTTGCTGAGTAGAGTGTTGGAGGCTATTTTGTAAATGACAAAGTCAAGGATCGGTAGGCTAGTCAGTTTTACGAGGGCATGTTTAGCAGCATGAGTGAAGGAGGCTTTGCTGCGAAATAGGAAGCCGATTCTAGATTTAACTTTGGATTGGAGATTCTTAATGTGAGTCTGGAAGGAGAGTTTACAGTCTAACCAGACACCTAAGTATTTGTAGTTGTCCACATACTCTAGGTCAGACCCGTCGAGAGTAGTGATTCTAGTCGGGTGGGCGGGTGCAAGCAGCGTTCGGTTGAAGAGCATGCATTTAGTTTTACTAGTGTTTAAGAGCAGTTGGAGGCTACTGAAGGTGTGCCAAGGTGTGCCAAGCTTGTAGCGTCATACCCAACAAGACTCGATGCTGTAATCGCTGCCAAAGGTGCTTCAACAGAGTACTGAGTAAAGGGTCTGAATACTTATGGAAATGGGATATTTCATTTTTTTAATACATTTGCAAATATTTCTAAAAACCAGTTTTTGCTTTGTCATGGGGTGTTGTGTGTAGATTGATGAGGGGAAAAAAACGATTTAATCAATTTCAGAATAAGGCTGTAATGTAACAAAATGTGGGAAAAGTCAAGGGGTCTGAATACTTTCCGAATGCAGTCTCTGAAATCAAAAATAATTAAACATTCTTAAAAAAAAGTACTTAAAAGAAAAATGTATTTACTATTACCATGAATGTACAGCATGTGTCAAACTCATTGATGAATGAAGGTCACTAATTAGTAAGGAACTCCCCTCACCTGGTTGTCTTGGTCTTAATTGAAAGGAAAAACCTGCAGACACTCGGCCCTCTGTGGAATGAGTTTGACACCCCTGATGTACACATGGATGCGTCTGAAATGGCACCCTACTCCCTATAAAGTTAATTTTGACCAGGGCCCTATGGCATTTGGGACGCACACGATACAGTTCCCTCCGTAATTATTGGGACAGTGAAGAATTGTTATTCTTTTGGCTCTGTACTCCAAAAGTTTTTTATTTGAAATCAAACCATGACTATGAGGTTAAAGTGCAGACTGTCAGCTTTAATTTGAGGGTATTTTCATTCATATAGGGGTGAACCGTTTAAAAATTACAGCACTTTTTATGCATAGTCCCCCCCCATTTTAGGGCACCAAAAGTATTGGGACAAATTTACTTGTGTATTAAAGTAGTAAAACATTTAGTATTTGGTCCCGTATTCCTAGCACACAATGATTACATCAAGCTTGTGACTCTACAAATTTGTTGGATGCATTTGTTGTTTATTTTGGTTGTTTCAGATTATTTTCTGCCCAATAGAAATGAATGATAAATAATGTAGTGTGTCATTTTGGTGTCACTTTTATTGTAAATAAGAATAGAATATGTTTCTAAACACTTCTACTTTAATGTGGATGTTACCATGGTTACGGATAATCCTGAATGAATCGTGAAAAATAAAGTTAGACACACAAATATCATGCCCCCAAGACATGCTAACCTCTCACCATTACAATAACAGTAGAGGTTAGCATTTTATATCATACCCCCAAGACATGCTAACCTCTCACCATTACAATAACAGGAGAGGTTAGCATTTTATATCATACTCCCAAGACATGCTAACCTCTCACCATTACAATAACAGGAGAGGTTAGCATTTTATATCATACCCCCCAAGACATGCTAACCTCTCACCATTACAATAACAGGAGAGGTTAGCATTTTATATCATACCCCCAAGACATGCTAACCTCTCACCATTACAATAACAGGAGAGGTTAGCATTTTATATCATACTCCCAAGACATGCTAACCTCTCACCATTACAATAACAGGAGAGGTTAGCATTTTATATCATACCCCCCAAGACATGCTAACCTCTCACCATTACAATAACAGGAGAGGTTAGCATTTTATATCATACCCCCAAGACATGCTAACCTCTCACCATTACAATAACAGGAGAGGTTAGCATTTTATATCATACTCCCAAGACATGCTAACCTCTCACCATTACAATAACAGGGGAGGTTAGCATTTTCTTTTTTTTGGGGGGGGGGGGTTATATGTATACCTCTAACTATTGGGCACACAACAATCTGAAACACAACCAAAACAAACAGCAAATGCATCCAATAAGTTTGTAGAGTCAAAAGCTTGATGTAGTCGTTGCGTGTTATGAATATGGGACCAAATACTACACTTTTTACTACTTTAATAAAGATGTGAATTTGTCCCAATACTTTTCGTCCCCTAAAATGCGGTGACTATGCATAAAAAGTGCTGTAAATTTCTAAACAGTTCACCCGATATGGATGAAAATACCCTCAAATTAAAGCTGACAAGTCTGCACATTAACCTCATAGTCATGGTTACATTTCAAATTCAAACTTTTGAAGTATACCGGCCAAAAGAAAATGCTTCACTGTCCCAATAATGACGGAGGGCACTGTATATCATGTCTACGATCTGAGGCGGTGGGGAGACTCACCTTGGCAATCCCTTCCATAGTGGTTCTTACAGCAGCGCATGACCCAGGCTCTGCTCTTACACTCCCTCTTACAGCCCATCTTCTGACCAATGGAGTGCCTCGACATGGAGTGGTAGAGGCTGTAGAAGAAGAAGAAGAAGAGAAATAACTTTAGTCTGTTACACACTTGAGAGGTTGGAAGTATTTGTATTTATTATGGATCCCCATTAGTTCCTGTCAAGGCAGCAGCTACTCTTCCTGGGGTTTATTATGGATCCTCATTAGTTCCTGTCAAGGCAGCGGCTACTCTTCCTGGGGTTTATTATGGATCCCCATTAGTTCCTGCCAAGGCAGCGGCTACTCTTCCTGGGGTTTATTATGGATCCCCATTAGTTCCTGCCAAGGCAGCGGCTACTCTTCCTGGGGTTTATTATGGATCCCCATTAGTTCCAGCCAAGGCAGCAGCTACTCTTCCTGGGGTTTATTATGGATCCCCATTAGTTCCTGCCAAGGCAGCAGCTACTCTTCCTGGGGTTTATTATGGATCCCCATTAGTTCCTGCCAAGGCAGCAGCTACTCTTCCTGGGGTTTATTATGGATCCCCATTAGTTCCTGCCAAGGCAGCAGCTACTCTTCCTACCTGAAGTCATACATCACCGTGGAGTCTCCCTACCTGAAGTCAAACATCACCGTGGAGTCTCCCTACCTGAAGTCATGGTCATACATCACCGTGGAGTCTCCCTACCTGAAGTCATGGTCATACATCACCGTGGAGTCTCCTTACCTGAAGTCATACATCACCGTGGAGTCTCCCTACCTGAAGTCATGGTCATACATCACCGTGGAGCCTCCCTACCTGAAGTCATACATCACCGTGGAGTCTCCCTACCTGAAGTCATACATCACCGTGGAGTCTCCCTACCTGAAGTCATACATCACCGTGGAGTCTCCCTACCTGAAGTCGTGATCATACATCACCATGGAGTCTCCCTACCTGAAGTCGTGGTCATACATCACCGTGGAGGCTCCCTACCTGAAGTCGTGGTCATACATCACCGTGGAGTCTCCCTACCTGAAGTCATACATCACCGTGGAGTCTCCCTACCTGAAGTCGTGGTCATACATCACTGTGGAGTCTCCCTACCTGAAGTCATACATCACCGTGGAGTCTCCCTACCTGAAGTCATGGTCATACATCACCGTGGAGTCCCCCTACCTGAAGTCAAACATCACCGTGGAGTCTCCCTACCTGAAGTCATACATCACCGTGGAGTCTCCCTACCTGAAGTCATACATCACCGTGGAGTCTCCCTACCTGAAGTCGTGATCATACATCACCGTGGCGGCTCCCTACCTGAAGTCGCGGTCATATATCACCGTGGAGGCTCCCTACCTGAAGTCGTGGTCATACATCACCGTGGAGGCTCCCTACCTGAAGTCATACATCACCGTGGTGTCTCCCTACCTGAAGTCGTGGTCATACATCACCGTGGAGTCCCCCTACCTGAAGTCGTGGTCATACATCACCGTGGAGTCCCCCTACCTGAAGTCGTGGTCATACATCACCGTGGAGTCCCCCTACCTGAAGTCATACATCACCGTGGAGTCCCCCTACTTGAAGTCGTGGTCATACATCACCGTGGAGTCTCCCTACCTGAAGTCATGGTCATACATCACCGTGGAGTCCCCCTACCTGAAGTCGTGGTCATACATCACCGTGGAGTCCCCCTACCTGAAGTCATACATCACCGTGGAGTCCCCCTACCTGAAGTCATACATCACCGTGGAGGCTCCCTACCTGAAGTCGTGGTCATACATCACCATGGAGGCTCCCTACCTGAAGTCGTGGTCATACATCACCGTGGAGTCCCCCTACCTGAAGTCGTGGTCATACATCACCGTGGAGTCTCCCTACCTGAAGTCGTGGTCATACATCACCGTGGAGTCTCCCTACCTGAAGTCGTGGTCATACATCACCGTGGAGTCTCCCTACCTGAAGTCGTGGTCATACATCACCGTGGAGTCTCCCTACCTGAAGTCGTGGTCATACATCACCGTGGAGTCTCCCTACCTGAAGTCGTGGTCATACATCACCGTGGAGTCTCCCTACCTGAAGTCGTGGTCATACATCACCGTGGAGTCCCCCTACCTGAAGTCGTGGTCATACATCACACTGTGGCGTCGAGGGTAGAACATAGAGTAGGGGTTCATGTAGCTGCAGATCTCAGTCTTGCCCTGTGAAAGGCAGGAGATGGTGTGTAATGGTTAGCGTGCGTGTGTGTGTGTGTGTGTGTGTGTGTCTGTGTGTGTGTGTCTGTGTGTGTGTCTGTGTGTGTGTCTGTGTGTGTGCGTGTGTCCGTGTGTGTGTCAGCTCACCGTATCTTCAGTTCCTGGGGGACAGTTGCGGGGACTCAAGCAGTTTCCACATCGACTCTAACGACACACACAGGTCATACAATACGTTTTGTTGTGATTCAAATACCTAGGTGTCTGGTTAGACTGTAAACTCTTCTTCCAGACTCATATTAAGAATTTCCAATCCAAAATTAAATCTAGAATCTGCTTCCTATTTCGCAACAAAGCCTCCTTCACTCATGCTGCCAAACATGCCCTCGTAAAACTGACTATCCTACCGATCCTTGACTTCGGCGATGTCATTTACAAAATAGCCTCCAACACTCTACTCAGAAAATTGGATGTAGTCTATTACAGTGCCATCCGTTTTGTCTCCAAAGCCCCATATACTACCCACCACTGTGACCTGTACGCTCTTGTTGGCTGGCCCTCACTACATATTCGTCGCCAAACCCACTGGCTCCAGGCCATCTATAAATCACTGCTAGGCAAATCCCTGCTTCATCTTAGATCATTGGTCACCATAGCAACACCCACCCGTAGTCTGCGCTCCAGCAGGTATATCTCACTGGTCATCCCCAAAGCCAACACCTCCTTTGGCCGTCATTCCTTCCAGTTCTCTGCTGCCAATAACTGGAACGAACTGCAAAAATCTCTGAAGCTGGAGACTCTTATCTCCCTCACTAACTTTAAGCATCAGTTGTCAGAGCACCTTACCGATCACTGCACCTGTACACAGCCCATCTGAAATTAGCCCACCCAACTACCTCATCCCCATATTGTTATTTATTTTGCTCATTTGCACCCCAGTATCTCTATTTGCACATCTATCATTCCAGTGTTAATACGAAATTGTAATTATTTTGCACTATGGCCTATTTATTGCTGTACCTCCATAATTTACTACATTCGCACACACTGTATATATATTTTCTGTTGTATTTTTGACTGTACGTTTTGTTTATTCCATATGTAACTCTGTGTTGTTGTTTTTATCGCACTGCTTTGCTTTATCTTGGCCAGGTCGCAGTTGTAAATGAGAACTTGTTCTCAACTGGCTTACCTGGTTAAATAAAGGTTAAATAAAAATAAATAAATATGTTGTTGATGTAAAGAATATATGTTGGTCCATGGTGTGTAATGAGGAGCAACCAGACGCAGCACTTGACACATTTATGAAATTGCTTATTCCAGTTACTAATAAGAAAATGACTGTAAAAACGGTTAAATCCCCTTGGATTGATGAGGAATTCAAGAATTGTATGGTTGAGAGGGATGAGGCAAAAGGAATGGCAAATAAGTCTGGATGCAAAACCGATTGGCAAACGTACTACAAATTGAGAACTCATGTGACTAAACTGAATAAAAAGAAGAAACTAAACTATGAAACAAAGATAAATAATATAAAGAATGATAGTAAAAAGCTTTGGAGCACCTTCAATGAAATGTTGGTCCTAAAGGCAAACACAGCTCCATCATTCATTGAATCCGATGGCTCAATCATCACAAAACCCACTGATATTGAGAAATTGATGATAAAAAGATTGTGGGGGCTGTTTTGTTAGACTTCAGTGTGGCTTTTGACATTATCGATCATAGTCTGCTGCTGGGAAAACATATGTGTAATGGCTTTACACCCCCTGCTATATTGTGGATCGAGAGTTACCTGTCTAACACAGAGGGGGTTCTTTAATGGAGCCTCTGCAACATAATCCAGGTAGAATAAGGAATTCCCCAGGGCAGCTGTCTAGGCCCCATACTTTTTAAAATCTTTACTAACAACATGCCACTGGCTTTGAGTAAAGCCAGAGTGTCCATGTATGCGGATGACTCAACACTATACACGTCAGCTACTACAGTGACTGAAATGACTGCAACACTTAAAGAGCTGCAGCCAGTTTCAGAATGGGTGGCAAGGAATAAGTTAGTCCTAAATATTTCAAAAACTAAAAGCATTGTATTTGGGACAAATCACTCACTAAACCCTAAACCTCAACTACATCTCGTAATGAATAATGTGGAAATTGAGAAAGTTGAGGTGACTAAACTGCTTGGAGTAACCCTGGATTGTAAACTGTCATGGTCAAAACATATTGATACAACATTAGCTAAGATGGGGAGAAGTCTGTCCATAATAAAGCACTGCTCTACCTTCTTAACAGCACTATCAACAAGGCAGGTCCTACAGGCCCTAGTTTTGTTGCACCTGGTCTACTGTTCAGTCCTGTGGTCAGGTGCCACAAAGAGGGACTCAGGAAAATTGCACTTTGTAGCTATAAAACACGTCAACATGTCACCAAGAGGAGGTGACAACATACGTAAACTAAAACAAAGAGAGGCATTTTGGCAGAACTCCTTAGACACTGGATCCTACGGGACAGTACTCCTTAGACTGTGGATACTATGGGACAGTACTCCTTAGACCCTGGATACTACGGGACAGTACTCCTTAGACACTGGATACTACGGGACAGTACTCCTTAGACACTGGATACTACGGGACAGAACTCCTTAGACACTGTGGATCCTACGGGACAGTACTCCTTAGACACTGTGGATCCTACGGGACAGTACTCCTTAGACCCTGGATACTACGGGACAGTACTCCTTAGACACTGGATACTACGGGACAGTACTCCTTAGACACTGGATACTACGGGACAGAACTCCTTAGACACTGTGGATCCTAAGGGGCAGTACTCCTTAGACACTGTGGATCCTAAGGGGCAGTACTCCTTAGACACTGTGGATCCTACGGGACAGTAATCCTTAGACACTGGATCCTACGGGACAGTACTCCTTAGACTGTGGATCCTATGGGACAGTAATCCTTAGACACTGGATCCTACGGGACAGTACTCCTTAGACACTGTGGATCCTATGGGACAGTAATCCTTAGACACTGGATCCTACGGGACAGTACTCCTTAGACCCTGTGGATCCTACGGGACAGTACTCCTTAGACCCTGTGGATCCTACGGGACAGTACTCCTTAGACCCTGTGGATCCTAAGGGGCAGTACTCCTTAGACACTGTGGATCCTAAGGGGCAGTACTCCTTAGACCCTGTGGATCTAAAGGGGCAGTACTCCTTAGACCCTGTGGATCCAAAGGGGCTAAACAATGGTTTTGCCTCGTTTCTATAATGTTGTTGCCTTGATTTTTTTGGTCTTTGTGTCTCCAGTTTCAGACCTTCATATATCCCCTATCTATTTACTTTATTTTGCCCATTGAGCAACGAGACACGTCATTTTGTTCCATTGATGTGTCTCTGTAGGCCACTAGGCTATAAATTGGAACCAAGTTAAATTGTCAGGTCACTGAGGAAGACGTCAGCTTGACGTCGAAATGTCAGTCACCTGTATACTCATTTTACATTTTAGCCATTTAGCAGACGCTCTTATCCAGAGTAAGTATCTAGTCGGTTCGGGGATTCGAACCAGCAACCGGCCCAATGCTCTTAACCGCTTGGCTACCTGCCAACCCCACTCATCCTGAACAATGGATTAAAGTGAGCTAAAATAAATTAATCTAATTAGTCCTTCTGGAAGTTTTTCCTTGGTAAGCCCTTTTCATACATACACTTCCATGCCATCTAATTTCTCCATCCAGTACATCACATGCTGTGGGAGAAACGTCTCCTGCTGGAGTACCAGAACCTTCCACATATACTCTCCAGATATATTAGAAATAAATAATAATATTATGAAGGTATTAAAGTCTCTTACGTATGAAGTCCTGTCCTCCAGTCCGTCACAGTGTGCGCCCAGACCGGGAGGTTCCAGTAGCTGGTCGATGCCGTACGCCACGCCACCGTCAAACATCATGAAACGATCCAGGACCCTTGCCATGTTGTCGTTCACCATGATGTCCCCCTGACAGACACATGAGAAAGGGGATAGACAAGATGAGAACTAGCCTGGTCCCAGATCCGTTTGTGCCGTCTTCCAAACTCCTATAGTCAGTCACACTCGTGGCAAGACAACACAAACAGATCTGGAACCAGGCTGAGGCTAGATGAAAATATGAGATTGGGGATAGAGGAACATGCAGTCCCTAGTCCAGTCCCTAGTCCAGTCCCTAGTCCCAGTAGTTTGGGGATAGAGGAACATGCAGTCCCTAGTCCCAGTAGTTTGGGGATAGAGGGACATGCAGTCCCTAGTCCCAGTAGTTTGGGGATAGAGGAACATGCAGTCCCTAGTCCCAGTAGTTTGGGGATAGAGGAACATGCAGTCCCTAGTCCCAGTAGTTTGGGGATAGAGGAACATGCAGTCCCTAGTCCCAGTAGTTTGGGGATAGAGGAACATGCAGTCCCTAGTCCCAGTAGTTTGGGGATAGAGGAACATGCAGTCCCTAGTCCCAGTAGTTTGGGGATAGAGGAACATGCAGTCCCTAGTCCCAGTAGTTTGTGGATAGAGGAACATGCAGTCCCTAGTCCCAGTAGTTTGGGGATAGAGGGACATGCAGTCCCTAGTCCCAGTAGTTTGGGGATAGAGGAACATGCAGTCCCTAGTCCCAGTAGTTTGTGGATAGAGGAACATGCAGTCCCTAGTCCAGTCCCTAGTCCAGTCCCTAGTCCCAGTAGTTTGGGGATAGAGGAACATGCAGTCCCTAGTCCCAGTAGTTTGTGGATAGAGGAACATGCAGTCCCTAGTCCCAGTAGTTTGTGGATAGAGGAACATGCAGTCCCTAGTCCCAGTAGTTTGGGGATAGAGGAACATGCAGTCCCTAGTCCCAGTAGTTTGGGGATAGAGGAACATGCAGTCCCTAGTCCCAGTAGTTTGGGGATAGAGGGACATGCAGTCCTTAGTCCCAGTAGTTTGGGGATAGAGGAACATGCAGTCCCTAGTCCCAGTAGTTTGGGGATAGAGGAACATGCAGTCCCTAGTCCCAGTAGTTTGGGGATAGAGGAACATGCAGTCCCTAGTCCCAGTAGTTTGTGGATAGAGGAACATGCAGTCCCTAGTCCCAGTAGTTTGGGGATAGAGGAACATGCAGTCCCTAGTCCCAGTAGTTTGGGGATAGAGGAACATGCAGTCCCTAGTCCCAGTAGTTTGGGGATAGAGGAACATGCAGTCCCTAGTCCCAGTAGTTTGGGGATAGAGGAACATGCAGTCCCTAGTCCAGTCCCTAGTCCAGTCCCTAGTCCAGTCCCTAGTCCAGTCCCTAGTCCAGTCCCTAGTCCAAGTAGTTTGTGGATAGAGGAACATGCAGTCCCTAGTCCAGTCCCTAGTCCAGTCCCTAGTCCAGTACCTAGTCCAGTCCCTAGTCCAGTCCCTAGTCCCAGTAGTTTGTGGATAGAGGAACATGCAGTCCCTAGTCCAGTCCCTAGTCCAGTCCCTAGTCCCTAGTCCAGTCCCTACTCCAGTCCCTAGTCCAGTCCCTAGTCCCAGTAGTTCAGAGCAGATGGTCTTCCTTGTATCTTAAACTGGCTTTTCTTTCAATCCTCAAGCCTCTAATTTGCAACCTTGGGGATAAATAAAGTGTGTCCCAAATGGCACTATGTTCCCTATATAGTGCATCTATGGGCTTTGGCCAAATGTAGTGCACTATATAGGGAACAGGGTGCCATTCGCTTGGTCTAAAGTAGTGCACTATATAGGGAATAGGGTGCCATTCTCTGGTCTAGTATTCACTATATAGGAATAGGTCCCATTCTCTGTCTAAAGTAGTCACTATATAGTGGAATAAGGGTGTCCATTCTCTGGTCTAAGTAGTGCACTATATAGGAATAGGGTGCCATCTCGGACTAAAGAGTGCCTATATAGGGATATCTGGCTAAAGTAGTGCACTATATAGGGAAAGGTTGCATTCTCTGGTCTAAAGTAGTGCACTATATAGGGAATAGGGTGCCATTCTCTGGTCTAAAGTAGTGCACTATATAGGAATAGGGTGCCACTCTGCTAAAGTAGTGCACTATTAGGGAATGGGTGCCATTCTCTGGTCTAAAGTAGTGCACTATAGGGAATAGGGTGTCATTCTCTGGGTCTAAATAGGTGGCACTTATAGGAATAGGTGCCATTCTGGTCTAAAGTAGTGCACTATATAGGAATAGGGTGCCATGACTCTGCGTCTAAGTAGTAGCACTATATAGGGGAATAGGGTGCCATTCTCTGGACTAAAGTAGTGCACTATATAGGGAATAGGGTGCCATTCTCTGGTCTAAAGTAGTGCACTATATAGGGAATAGGGTGCCATTCTCTGGTCTAAAGTAGTGCACTATATAGGGAATAGGGTGCCATTCTCTGGTCTAAAGTAGTGCACTATATAGGGAATAGGGTGCCATTCTCTGGTCTAAAGTAGTGCACTATATAGGGAATAGGGTGCCATTCTCTGGTCTAAAGTAGTGCACTATATAGGGAATAGGGTGCCATTCTCTGGTCTAAAGTAGTGCACTATATAGGGAATAGGGTGCCATTCTCTGGTCTAAAGTAGTGCACTATATAGGGAATAGGGTGTCATTCTCTGGTCTAAAGTAGTGCACTATATAGGGAATAGGGTGCCATTGTCTAGTCTAAAGTAGTGCACTATATAGGGAATAGGGGGCCATTCTCTGGTCTAAAGTAGTGCACTATATAGGGAATAGGGTGCCATTCTCTGGTCTAAAGTAGTGCACTATATAGGGAATAGGGTGCCATTCTCTGGTCTAAAGTAGTGCACTATATAGGGAATAGGGTGCCATTCTCTGGTCTAAAGTAGTGCACTATATAGGGAATAGGGTGCCATTCTCTGGTCTAAAGTAGTGCACTATATAGGGAATAGGGTGCCATTCTCTGGTCTAAAGTAGTGCACTATATAGGGAATAGGGTGCCATTCTCTGGTCTAAAGTAGTGCACTATATAGGGAATAGGGTGCCATTCTCTGGTCTAAAGTAGTGCACTATATAGGGGACAGGGTGCCATTTGAGACGTGTAAATGAGGTTGAAGTAGCTACTCACAACGACTTTCTTGTTACAGCTGAAGGTGAAGGTTGATCCGTGCATCGTCCGGTAGGTAGTGAAAGACGTAAAGGTCATCTTCTGCAGCACCACGAGAGATCAACATCATTATTATCAACACCAACATCATTATCAAAACAACATCAATAACTATTCAAAAACATTTGGGATGCACCCCATAGCCTCACCTTGATGTTGCGTATGATGTGAGCTTTGATGATGGCGGTGAGTTTGTCCCTGTGGTCGAGGCTGTACAGCCAGCGTTGTCTCTCTTCGGACAGAGAGCTGAGGGCAGCGTCAGACGGCCACAACATGGTCAAGGGCTGATGGATGGAGCTCTCTACCAGGCTCAGCATGTTGGCATCCTAATAACAATAACAAAGAGAGTTAATGCCCCTGATCATTTTGGGATTTGCCCCATTAAAAGCATGCTGTATTTAAAGTTATTGATACGGTAGGAAATGTGTATTAGCTTTCTACATGATTGAGTAAGCCAACGGCCACATAACTGTTGTTTACCTGCACCAGCTTGCTGAACTTGATGTATCCATATAGTTCACCTGCTTGAGTGAAATTAAGCTGAAATATAAGAAAACAAATATGTCACGAGTAGGGATTAACATGGATAACCGTGATAGGTCTAGGGATTAACATGGATAACCGTGATAGGTCTAGGGATTAACATGGATAACCGTGATAGGTCTAGGGACTAACATGGATAACCGTGATAGGTCTAGGGATTAACATGGATAACCGTGATAGGCCTAGGGACTAACATGGATAACCGTGATAGGCCTAGGGACTAACATGGATAACCGTGATAGGCCTAGGGACTAACATGGATAACCGTGATAGGTCTAGGGATTAACATGGATAACCGTGATAGGCCTAGGGATTAACATGGATAACCGTGATAGGCCTAGGGACTAACATGGATAACCGTGATAGGTCTAGGGACTAACATGGATAACCGTGATAGGTCTAGGGATTAACATGGATAACCGTGATAGGTCTAGGGATTAACATGGATAACCGTGATAGGTCTAGGGATTAACATGGATAACCGTGATAGGTCTAGGGATTAACATGGATAACCGTGATAGGTCTAGGGATTAACATGGATAACCGTGATAGGCCTAGGGATTAACATGGATAACCGTGATAGGCCTAGGGACTAACATGGATAACCGTGATAGGTCTAGGGATTAACATGGATAACCGTGATAGGTCTAGGGATTAACATGGATAACCGTGATAGGTCTAGGGATTAACATGGATAACCGTGATAGGTCTAGGGATTAACATGGATAACCGTGATAGGTCTAGGGATTAACATGGATAACCGTGATAGGTCTAGGGATTAACATGGATAACCGTGATAGGTCTAGGGATTAACATGGATAACCGTGATAGGTCTAGGGATTAACATGTATAACCGTGATAGGTCTAGGGATTAACATGGATAACCGTGATAGGTCTAGGGATTAACATGGATAACCGTGATAGGCCTAGGGATTAACATGGATAACCGTGATAGGTCTAGGGATTAACATGGATAACCGTGATAGGTCTAGGGACTAACATGGATAACCGTGATAGGTCTAGGGATTAACATGGATAACCGTGATAGGTCTAGGGATTAACATGGATAACCGTGATAGGTCTAGGGATTAACATGGATAACCGTGATAGGTCTAGGGATTAACATGGATAACCGTGATAGGTCTAGGGATTAACATGGATAACCGTGATAGGTCTAGGGATTAACATGGATAACCGTGATAGGTCTAGGGATTAACATGGATAACCGTGATCGGTCTAGGGATTAACATGGATAACCGTGATAGGCCTAGGGATTAACATGGATAACCGTGATAGGTCTAGGGACTAACATGGATAACCGTGATAGGTCTAGGGATTAACATGGATAACCGTGATAGGTCTAGGGATTAACATGGATAACCGTGATAGGTCTAGGGACTAACATGGATAACCGTGATAGGTCTAGGGACTAACATGGATAACCGTGATAGGCCTAGGGACTAACATGGATAACCGTGATAGGTCTAGGGATTAACATGGATAACCGTGATAGGTCTAGGGACTAACATGGATAACCGTGATAGGTCTAGGGATTAACATGGATAACCGTGATAGGTCTAGGGATTAACATGGATAACCGTGATAGGTCTAGGGATTAACATGGATAACCGTGATAGGTCTAGGGACTAACATGGATAACCGTGATAGGTCTAGGGATTAACATGGATAGGTCTATGCACAATTCACTACATATACATCTCTGTCACAGACATGAAGTCTGTTAACAATTCAGAGGCATGATGGGACATTTTATCTTCTCCGGTCCTAGACTATTATCCTATCCAGCCCCAATCCCACTGAAACCCCAATTCCTAACTTTATTCTGTAATCCATAGGTTGCATTATCAAAGCACATCTCGCCTATGCATATCAAAATACCACTATAACATTTACCCCGCTTCTTTATGCTGTCTCGTATTGCTGCCTATATAGAGTTTAGGAAGAGAATGTGTGATCAACAAACGGCATGAGAGTAGATATGGATGTTTTTAAAAACAGAGTTCGTCCCCGTTAAGATACCTTGATATAAAAAAATAGATATACTCTTCACCTCCCCGTTACTCATGGGCTGATCAGCTTTCTGTATAATCATCAACTTGATTTTGCCAAATATAGGCGATATTCTGTCATTCGTTGAAGGAGCAAGTTTAGCAACTTTGGTCATTTGCCATTTTCAAAGTTTGTATGATTCGAGAACGCCGTAGCCTGAGCGCTCCGAGCGTCCTGACCGTGTCGAGATGGCCTGGCCTACTGCTGAAATGCGCTGAATTAATTGAGGAACATGGCGCTCAGAATTATATGAACGTCCTGTTTCGCAATTTCATTGGCGATCACAGATAGCTACTCTATCATTACTAAATATCAGTTTAATTTTCTCTGAAATACATAGTGGCGCATCCAAGCCAACAAGGTGGCGCAGCTCCCCTCTTATTCTGGGAGGACCCTGGCATAGTGACCATCCTGGTTTTAAATGCTTTGCTGTATTTCCTGGGACTCTTGGGATACATATGAATTATTCCCGGAGGAAAATGTGAATCCCTAGTCACGAGTGCTTTTCAAATCAATGCAACTTATTTGGGGAGTAAATTGTGAATTGCGTCCCAAATGGCAGCGCCCTAACTCCTACGTAGTACGGGACAGCATGGCGCTTGCAATGACAGGATCATGGGTTTGATTCCCGCTGAGGCCACCCATATGGAAAACGTATGCATGCTATGTCTGTAAGTAGCTTTGGAAAAAACAAAACAAAAAAGCTTTGGATCAAAGCGTCTGCAAAGTGGCATTCAGTATATTTACTTGGCATACAGTATATTTACTTGGCATACAGTATATTTACTTGGCATACAGTATATTTACTTGGCATACAGTATATTTACTTGGCATACAGTATATTTACTTGGCAGCGATAGCCTACCTTGGATGGCACGTCCTTTTGATCCTTCAGGACATACGGGGTGAGGACCTTGTCAATGTAGTGAATCACACCGTCAGCTGTAACAAAATCACTGGAGACGATCCTAGCGTCATCATTAATGTACACAAAACCCTGAAAGGGGGGGTGGGGGGGGGTGGGTAGAGAGAAACTTAGTTAAAGTACCAATGCAGTCAAAAACGTGATTTTCCTGTGTTTTATATACATTTCCACACTATGAGGTTGGAAAAATACTGTGAAATTGTGAAAATGATTTTAAATGCCCTTTTAGTGTGAGAGCTGTTTGAAAAGACCGCCTGAAATTTCAGCCTGTTTTTGGTTGGATGGAGTTTTAGTTAATAGACCAACGCCAAAGAGAGTTCCAATAAAACATTTACATAATAAAAAAAAAATGGGCATCAAAATCTGTCAGTTTAAGCTAGAGATATTTGTTGTTTACATTGGGTGCGTCTCAATCCGCCGATGTCGGCCTTCCATCTGCAGTGGATGGTGACAGAGCTACAGCGCTGTTTGTCAGACCAGGAGACGTCCCGGGGAAATCTGTCTTCTCACGAAAACGGTTTGGCCTATGAACTAATACGACCCCTCTATGGAGAGATTAGGCTCTCACGAACATGACGGGGTTCTCTCTGAGACGACCCCTCTATGGAGAGATTAGGCTCTCACGAACATGACGGGGTTCTCTCTGAGACGACCCCTCTATGGAGAGATTAGGCTCTCACGAACATGACGGGGTTCTCTCTGAGACGACCCCTCTATGGAGAGATTAGGCTCTCACGAACATGACGGGGTTCTCTCTGAGACGACCCCTCTATGGAGAGATTAGGCTCTCACGAACATGACGGGGTTCTCTCTGAGACGACCCCTCTATGGAGAGATTAGGCTCTCACGAACATGACGGGGTTCTCTCTGAGACGACCCCTCTATGGAGAGATTAGGCTCTCACGAACATGACGGGGTTCTCTCTGAGACGACCCCTCTATGGAGAGATTAGGCTCTCACGAACATGACGGGGTTCTCTCTGAGACGACCCCTCTATGGAGAGATTAGGCTCTCACGAACATGACGGGGTTCTCTCTGAGACGACCCCTCTATGGAGAGATTAGGCTCTCACGAACATGACGGGGTTCTCTCTGAGACGACCCCTCTATGGAGAGATTAGGCTCTCACGAACATGACGGGGTTCTCTCTGAGACGACCCCTCTATGGAGAGATTAGGCTCTCACGAACATGACGGGGTTCTCTCTGAGACGACCCCTCTATGGAGAGATTAGGCTCTCACGAACATGACGGGGTTCTCTCTGAGACGACCCCTCTATGGAGAGATTAGGCTCTCACGAACATGACGGGGTTCTCTCTGAGACGACCCCTCTATGGAGAGATTAGGCTCTCACGAACATGACGGGGTTCTCTCTGAGACGACCCCTCTATGGAGAGATTAGGCTCTCACGAACATGACGGGGTTCTCTCTGAGACGACCCCTCTATGGAGAGATTAGGCTCTCACGAACATGACGGGGTTCTCTCTGAGACGACCCCTCTATGGAGAGATTAGGCTCTCACGAACATGACGGGGTTCTCTCTGAGACGACCCCTCTATGGAGAGATTAGGCTCTCACGAACATGACGGGGTTCTCTCTGAGACGACCCCTCTATGGAGAGATTAGGCTCTCACGAACATGACGGGGTTCTCTCTGAGACGACCCCTCTATGGAGAGATTAGGCTCTCACGAACATGACGGGGTTCTCTCTGAGACGACCCCTCTATGGAGAGATTAGGCTCTCACGAACATGACGGGGTTCTCTCTGAGCTGTTCTCTATCTCCTAGATTTAGGACAGACACTTCAAAACCTTATTCCTTATGATATATTTTTTAACTGTCTTTTTTGCCATTTATGAAAGTGTTATTCAATGTGTTGCTATGGGCTTTAGTAGTAAAGGACTAATTCAATCTTTTATCAAAAAACTTTTAGTTATTTTTTTGATACCTAAAAGGGTCCTAAAATTAAGAATGAAACACTCTGATCCTCTGGCACGCAAATTGTATGATGCCAAACTCTTTTAGTCTGGTCAAAAGTTGTAAGTATTAGTAAGCCTTGGAGAAGTAGGCCTAGGAGAAGTAGGCCTTGGAGAAGTAGGCCTAGGAGAAGTAGGCCTTGGAGAAGTAGGCCTTGGAGAAGTAGGCCTAGGAGAAGTAGGCCTAGGAGAAGTAGGCCTAGGAGAAGTAGGCCTAGGAGAAGTAGGCCTAGGAGAAGTAGGCCTAGGAGAAGTAAGCCTTGGAGAAGTAGGCCTTGGAGAAGTAGGCCTTGGAGAAGTAGGCTTTGGAGAAGTAGGCCTTGGAGAAGTAGGCTTTGGAGAAGCAAGCCTTGTCCCGAGACAGAAATAGTCCAAAGTAGTGCACTCTAAAGGGAATAGGGTACCATTTGGGACTCACCTCCTTGAGGCTGAAGGTGAGCTGGTGTCCGGAGACGGCAACGGCTTTTAAGGTGGTCTTCAGATCAGAGAGCATCAGAGTCTCACAGGACACAATGTGGTAGTTGGCCAGGTCTAGGCTGCGGCCATGTGACTCCCACGTCTCTATCTGGAGAGAGAGAGAGAGTCAATGTGGTAGTTGGCCAGGTCTAGGCTGCGGCCCTGTGACTCCCACGTCTCTATCTGGAGAGAGAGAGAGAGTCAATGTGGTAGTTGGCCAGGTCTAGGCTGCGGCCATGTGACTCCCACGTCTCTATCTGGAGAGAGAGAGAGTCAATGTGGTAGTTGGCCAGGTCTAGGCTGCGGCCCTGTGACTCCCACGTCTCTATCTGGAGAGAGAGAGAGTCAATGTGGTAGTTGGCCAGGTCTAGGCTGCGGCCATGTGACTCCCACGTCTCTATCTGGAGAGAGAGAGAGTTTACAGAGACTAACCCACATCCTTATCCACACACCCTAACAAATCAAAATTGCATTTGTCAAATGCGCTGAATACAACAGGTGTAGACCTTACAGTGAAATGCTTACTTACAAGCCCATAGCCAACAATGCAGTTTTAAGAAAAATAAGTGTTAAGTAAAAAGTAGATTACTAAAAAATTTAAATAAAAAATTATTAAAGAGCAGCAGTAAAATAACAACAGGGAGGCTATATACAGGGGGGTACCGGTACCGAGTCAATGGGCTGGGGGCTATATACAGGCGGTACCGGTACCGAGTCAATGGGCTGGGGGCTATATACAGGCGGTACCGGTACAGAGTCAATGGGCTGGGGGCTATATACAGGGGGTACCGGTACAGAGTCAATGGGCTGGGGGCTATATACAGGGGGTACCGGTACAGAGTCAATGGGCTGGGGGCTATATACAGGGGGTACCGGTACAGAGTCAATGGGCTGGGGGCTATATACAGGGGGTACCGGTACAGAGTCAATGGGCTGGGGGCTATATACAGGGGGTACCGGTACAGAGTCAATGGGCTGGGGGCTATATACAGGCGGTACCGGTACAGAGTCAATGGGCTGGGGGCTATATACAAGGCGGTACCGGTACAGAGTCAATGGGCTGGGGGCTATATACAGGGGGTACCGGTACAGAGTCAATGGGCTGGGGGCTATATACAGGGGGTACCGGTACAGAGTCAATGGGCTGGGGGCTATATACAGGGGGTACCGGTACAGAGTCAATGGGCTGGGGGCTATATACAGGGGGTACCGGTACAGAGTCAATGGGCTGGGGGCTATATACAGGCGGTACCGGTACAGAGTCAATGGGCTGGGGGCTATATACAGGCGGTACCGGTACAGAGTCAATGGGCTGGGGGCTATATACAGGGGGGTACCGGTACAGAGTCAATGGGCTGGGGGCTATATACAGGGGGTACCGGTACAGAGTCAATGTGCTGGGGGCTATATACAGGCGGTACCGGTACAGAGTCAATGTGCGGGGGCACCGGTTAGTCGAGGTAACTGAGGTAATATGTACATGTAGGTGGAGTTATTAAAGTGACTATGCATAGATACATAGAGTAGCTGCAGCGTAAAAGAGGGGAGGGGACAATGCAAATAGTCTGGGTAGCCATTTGATTAGATGTTCAGGAGTCTTATGGCTTGGGGGCATGCACACACATACGCAGACCCGTCCCACACACATACGCAGACCCGTCCCACACACATACACAGACCCGTCCCACACACATACACAGACCCGTCCCCATACGCAGACCCGTCCCCATACGCAGACCCGTCCCCACACACATACGCAGACCCGTCCCCATACGCAGACCCGTCCCCATACGCAGACCCGTCCCCATACGCAGACCCGTCCCCATACGCAGACCCGTCCCACACACATACGCAGACCCGTCCCCATACGCAGACCCGTCCCCATACGCAGACCCGTCCCCATACGCAGACCCGTCCACATACGCAGACCCGTCCCCATACGCAGACCCGTCCCACACACATACGCAGACCCGTCCCCATACGCAGACCCGTCCCCATACGCAGACCCGTCCCCATACGCAGACCCGTCCCACACACATACGCAGACCCGTCCCCATACGCAGACCCGTCCCCATACGCAGACCCGTCCCACACACATACGCAGACCCGTCCCCATACGCAGACCCGTCCCCATACGCAGACCCGTCCCCATACGCAGACCCGTCCCCATACGCAGACCCGTCCCCATACGCAGACCCGTCCCCATACGCAGACCCGTCCCACACACATGAACATTAAAAAAAAGTATAATCTTTGACATACTGAGAAGTTGCTGTTTGCAGGAGGTATGAATGTAGTGAAGGGCCCATCACCGTAGAGACTCCTTGCATCAGACACCTGGGGAACCACAAGCATTAGCCTCATCAGAAATATGCAGAACATGAATAATCACATAGGGAAGTGAAATGTCATTACCATAGACATCCTACAACAACACACTGACTCACCATCAATATCCGACGGTACAACGCAGCATCTGACTGGCGAAATATCTCCTGCAAATATCCATTGGAAAATGAATTCAGAGACACACAGACACACACACACACACACACACACACACAGATACACACACAGACACACACAGACACACACACACACACACACACACACACAGATACACACACACACAGACACACACAGATACACACACAGACACACACACAGACACACACACAGACACACACACACACACACACAGACACACACACAGACACACACACACACACATACACACACAGATACACACACAGACACACACACAGACACACACACACACACACACACACACACACACACACACACACACACACACACACACACACCACTGACTCACCATGCGGGTCTTGCCACGGCAGTCAAAGCCGTCTCCTATGTGTCCCCCAGTACAGGTGCAGTTCCTCTCTCCGTTGCCCACATAACGACACCTGGCGTACCGTCCACAGCCCCCGTTGTCCTGGAAACATAACAGAGTATACACCACCAGGGCTATGTCCCAAATGGCGCCCTATTCCCTATAGGGCCCTGGTCTAAAGTAGTGCACTATATAGGGAATAGGGTGCCATTCTCTGGTCTAAAGTAGTGCACTATATAGGGAATAGGGTGCCATTCTCTGGTATAAAGTAGTGCACTATATAGGGAATAGGGTGCCATTCTCTGGTCTAAAGTAGTGCACTATATAGGGAATAGGGTGCCATTCTCTGGTCTAAAGTAGTGCACTATATAGGGAATAGGGTGTCATTCTCTGGTCTAAAGTAGTGCACTATATAGGGAATAGGGTGCCATTCTCTGGTCTAAAGTAGTGCACTATATAGGGAATAGGGTGCCATTCTCTGGTCTAAAGTAGTGCACTATATAGGGAATAGGGTGCCATTCTCTGGTCTAAAGTAGTGCACTATATAGGGAATAGGGTGTCATTCTCTGGTCTAAAGTAGTGCACTATATAGGGAATAGGGTGCCATTCTCTGGTCTAAAGTAGTGCACTATATAGGGAATAGGGTGCCATTCTCTGGTCTAAAGTAGTGCACTATATAGGGAATAGGGTGCCATTCTCTGGTCTAAAGTAGTGCACTATATAGGGAATAGGGTGCCATTCCCTGGTCTAAAGTAGTGCACTATATAGGGAATAGGGTGCCATTCTCTGGTCTAAAGTAGTGCACTATATAGGGAATAGGGTGCCATTCTCTGGTCTAAAGTAGTGCACTATATAGGGAATAGGGTGCCATTCTCTGGTCTAAAGTAGTGCACTATATAGGGAATAGGGTGCCATTCTCTGGTCTAAAGTAGTGCACTATATAGGGAATAGGGTGCCATTCTCTGGTCTAAAGTAGTGCACTATATAGGGAATAGGGTGCCATTCTCTGGTCTAAAGTAGTGCACTATATAGGGAATAGGGTGCCATTCTCTGGTCTAAAGTAGTGCACTATATAGGGAATAGGGTTCCATTCTCTGGTCTAAAGTAGTGCACTACATAGGGAATAGGGTGCCATTCTCTGGTCTAAAGTAGTGCACTACATAGGGAATAGGGTGCCATTCTCTGGTCTAAAGTAGTGCACTATATAGGGAATAGGGTACCATTCTCTGGTCTAAAGTAGTGCACTATATAGGGAATAGGGTACCATTCTCTGGTCTAAAGTAGTGCACTATATAGGGAATAGGGTGCCATTCTCTGGTCTAAAGTAGTGCACTATATAGGGAATAGGGTACCATTCTCTGGTCTAAAGTAGTGCACTATGAACCAGTACTCACAATCCGACAGGGGTTGAACGGGTAGCAGAACAGTCCATTCCCAGTGTAGCCAGATAAACAGTTACAGGCAACCTGAAACAGGTGGCACAGTTTGTTACTCACGGGACTAAACTAAACAAAAATAAGAAGAAACTACCCTATGAAACAAGATAAATGAAGGAATGGGAATGATAGTAAAAAGCTTTGGAGCACCTTAAATTTTGGGCAAAAAGACAAACTCAGCTCCATCATTCATTGAATCAGATGGCTCATTCATCGCAAAACCCACTGATATTTTAATGATTTTTTAATTACTTTAATTATTTTTTAATTGGCAAGATTAGCAAACTTAGGCATGACATGCTAACAACAAATTCTGAACCTACACATCCATGTATAACTGACCAAATTATGAAAGACAAGAATTGTCATTTTGAATTCCGCAAAGTGAGTGTGGAAGAGGTGAAAATTATACTGTTGTCTATCAACAATGTCAAGCCACCGGTGTCTGACAACTTGAATGGAAAATTACTGAGGATAATAGCAGACTATATTGCCACTCCTATTTGCCGTATCTTCAATTTAAGCCTACTAGAAAGTGTGTGCCCCCAGGCTTGGAGGGAAGCAAAAGTAATTCCGCTACCCAAGAATAGCAAAGCACCCTTTACCAATCAGCCTACTACCAACCATTAGTAAACTTTTGAAAACATATGTGTTTGACCAGATTCAATGCTATTTCACAGTAAACAAATCTTTCAGCACGCTTACAGGGAAGGGCATTCAACATGTACGGCACTTATACAAATGACTGATGATTGTCTGAAAGAAATTGATAAGAAGAAGGAGCTGTTTTGTTAGACATTATTGATCATAGTCTGCTGCTGGAAAAACGTATGTGTTATGGCTTTACTCCACCTGCTATATTGTGGATAAAGAGTTACCTGTCTAACAGAACACAGAGGGTGTTCTTTAATGGAAGCCACTCCAACATAATCCAGGTACAATCAGGAATTCCCCAGGGCAGCTGTCTAGGCCCATTACTTTTTTTTCAATCTTTACTAATGATTTGGTTCTGAGTAAAGCCAGTGTCTATGTACGCTGATGAGTCAACACAAAACACGTCAGCTACTACAGCAACTGAAATGACTGCAACACTTAAAGAGCTGCAGTTAGTTTCAGAATGGGTGGCAAGTAATAAGTATTAAATATTTCAAAAACTTAAACAATTGTATTTGGGACAAGTGATTCACTAAACCTCAACTAAATCTTGTAATGAGTAATGTGGAAATTGAACAAGTTGAGATGACTAAACTGCTTGGAGTAACCCTGGATTGTAAACTGTCATGGTCAAAACATATTGATGCAACAGTAGCTAAGATGGGGAGAAGTCTGTCCATAATAAAGCTCTGCTCTGCCTTCTTAACAGCATTATCAACAAGGCAGGTCCTACAGGCCCTAGTTTTGTTGCACCTGGACTACCACATATAGAATAATGATATTTCACCAGATGTATAAATGTGAAGCATCCGGTTGCCGTTTCCACTCACTACCAAATATGGTGATGAGTGAAAGCCCAGTGGCCGGCAGTGGGAGAAGATGGAGTGAGATGGATTTTGGCCGACATTTTGCAAATTTTCTCATCAATGAAACATTTGATCTCCATACAGTTTTATGTTTACAAAACTAGAATCTGTAACAAACAGAGTGGACTGCGTTTTGTAGACTTTACCCTTTGACAAAGTTTCTATAAATTGCATTGTTTAGAAAGAGTGTGGCGAATTAAGTTATTGCACAGGTGCACTTCACACAGTAGGCGTTCCCTAATGGAAATATGCAAATACATTTTAGAACGCGCCAATAGGATCTCACTAGCTCGTCCTTGGCTCTGCCCACCTCCTTGCTTGTTCTGCCCACTATGATTAATTTGCTCCCATTGGAAATGACAGGCTATGGTCTATCTTGGGTAAGTTATAAAAATCTTTGGGACTACTGCCCAGTCATATGGTCAAGTGCCACAGAGAGTGACATAGGCTAATTACAGTTGGCCCAGAACGGAGCAGCACGGGTGTCCCTTAAATGTACACAGAGAGCTAACATCAATTACACATGCATGGCTCAAAGTAGAGGAGAGAATGACTTTTACATTTACATTTTAGTCATTTAGCAGACGCTCTTATCCAGAGCGACTTACAGTTAGTGAGCACATACATTTTCATATTTGTTGGATAAAAAAAGAAGAAGATAAAAATACAAATGATGGAACAATGCGGACTGTGAGGAGACACACACACAGGCAGACACACACGCCAGCACACATACTCTACACATACGTATGTATAGTTGAAGTCGGAAGTTTACATACACCTTAGCCAAATACATTTAAACTCAGTTTTTCACAATTCCTGACATTTAATCCTAGTAGAAATTCCCTGTCTTAGGTCAGTTAGGATCACCACTTTATTTTAAGAATGTGAAATGTCAGAATAATAGTAGAGAGAATGATTTATTTCAGCTTTTATTTCTTTCATCACATTCCCAGTGGGTCAGAAGTTTACATACACTCAATCAGTATTTGGTAGCATTGCCTTTAAATTGTTTAACTTGGGTCAAATGTTTTGGGTAGCCTTCCACAAGCTTCCCACAATAAGTTGGGTGAATTTTGGCCCATTCCTCCTGACAGAGCTGGTGTAACTGAGTCAGGTTTGTCGGCGTCCTTGCTCGCAAACGCTTTTTCAGTTCTGCCCACACATTTTCTATAGGATTGAGGTCAGGGCTTTGTGATGGCCACTCCAATACCTTGACTTTGTTGTCCTTATGCCATTTTGCCACAACTTTGGAAGTATGCTTGGGGTCATTGTCCATTTGGAAGACCCATTTGCGATCCAGCTTTAACTTCCTGACTGATGTCTTGAGATGTTGCTTCAATATATCCACATAATTTTCCTTCCTCATGATGCCATCTATTTTGTGAAGTGTACCAGTCCCTCCTGCAGCAAAGCACCCCCACAGCATGATGCTGCCACCCCCGTGCTTCACAGTTGGGATGGTGTTCTTCGGCTTGCAAGAAACCCCCTTTTTCCTCCAAACATAACGATGGTCATTATGGCCAAACAGTTCTATTTTTGCTTCATCAGACCAGAGGACATTTCTCCAAAATGTACAATCTTTGTACTTGTGCAGTTGCAAACCGTAGTCTTGCTTTTTTATGGCGGTTTTGGAGCAGTGGCTTCTTCCTTGCTGAGCGGCCTTTCAGGTTATGTCGATATAGGACTCGTTTTACTGTGGATATAGATACTTTTGTACCCGTTTCCTCCAGCATCTTCACAAGATCCTTTGCTGTTGTTCTGGGATTGATTTGCACTTTTTGCACCAAAGTACGTTCATCTCTAGGAGACAGAATGCGTCTCCTTCCTGAGCGGTATGATGGCTGCGTGGTCCCATGGTGTTTATACTTGCGTACTATTGTTTGTACAGATGAACGTGGTACCTTCAGGCGTTTGGAAATTGCTCCCAAGGATGAACCAGACTTGTGGAGGTCTACCATTTATTTTCTGAGGTCTTTGCTGATTTCTTTAGATTTTCCCATGATGTCAAGCAAAGAGGCACTGAGTTTGAAGGTAGGCCTTGAAATACATCCACAGGTACACCTCCAATTGACTCAAATGATGTCAATTAGCCTATCAGAAGCTTCTAAAGCCATGACATAATTTTCTGGAATTTTCCAAGCTGTTTAAAGGCACAGTCAACTTAGTGTATGTAAACTTCTGACCCACTGGAATTGTGATACAGTGAATTATAAGTGAAATAATCTTTCTGTAAACAATTGTTGGAAAAATGACTTGCCAAAACTATAGTTTGTTAACAAGACATTTGTGGAGTGGTTGAAAAACGAGTTTGAATGACTCCATCCTAAGTGTATGTAAACTTCTGACTTCAACTGTATGGAGGTATTATAAATGTTGTATTTTAGATATGTAGTGGTGTAATAATGTTATTTTTGGTTGGACCCTAGGAACAGTAGCTGCTGCCTTGGCAGGAACTAATGGGGATCCATAATAAACCCCAGGAAGAGTAGCTGCTGCCTTGGCAGGAACTAATGGGGATCCATAATAAACCCCAGGAAGAGTAGCTGCTGCCTTGGCAGGAACTAATGGGGATCCATAATAAACCCCAGGAAGAGTAGCTGCTGCCTTGGCAGGAACTAATGGGGATCCATAATAAACCCCAGGAAGAGTAGCTGCTGCCTTGGCAGGAACTAATGGGGATCCATAAGAAACCCCAGGAAGAGTAGCTGCTGCCTTGGCAGGAACTAATGGGGATCCATAATAAACCCCAGGAAGAGTAGCTGCTGCCTTGGCAGGAACTAATGGGGATCCATAATAAACCCCAGGAAGAGTAGCTGCTGCCTCCATAATAAATACAAACACAAATACTCAGACGTACCTGACCTGTATTTCTATTTTATTCAGCGAGGAGGCCAGTTTATTGCAATGATAAAGTGACTGTGTCCCAAATGCTACCAGGGCCTTGTCTAAAATAGGGAATACCATTTAACACTCAGTGTAATCTTACCTGGTTCGGTCCTGTTTTGATGCACTCTGCGATCCTGGAACATCCACCGTTGTTTACTAAACAACCGTCTATCTCTGCAACAAACAAAAAAACATCCCATTGTCATTCCCTTTTAGATCAGCGGTTCCCAACCTTTCCATTTAGGGACCAAATCACAGTCAAATGCTCTTGACCACCATTCGCGAGAGTCATGGAATTTTTTAACATAAAACATCTTGCCGGTTAAATTTAGAGTCAAGGTTATCAGTAAATGTAAGTATAAATAAATAAATAAATAAGTGAAATGAAATAAATGTAAAGGCCTATTGTTATTATTATGATTATAAACAATTTGTCAAAGTAAAATTGCAACAAAACCATTAATATTACCATTAATATTACCATTAATAATACCATTAATATTACCATTAATAATACCATTAATAATACAATTAATATTACCATTAATATTACCATTAATATTACCATTAATATTACCATTAATATTACCATTAATAATACCATTAATATTACCATCAATATTACCATTAATGTTACCATTAATAGTACCATTAATAGTACCATTAATAGTACCATTAATATTACCATTAATACTACCATTAATATCATCATTAATACTACCATTAATATTACCATTAATATTACCATTGATATTACCATTGATACTACCATTAATATTACCATGAATACTACCATGAATACTACCATGAATACTACCATTAATATTACCATTAATATTACCATTAATAATACCATTAATATTACCATTAATATTACCATTAATAATACAATTAATAATACCATTAATATTACCATTAATATCACCATTAATATCACCATTAATACTGCCATTAATACTACCATTAATATTACCATTAATATTACCATTAATAATACCATTAATATTACCATTAATATTACCATTGATAATACCATTGATATTACCATTAATATTACCATTGATATTACCATTAATATTACCATTAATATTACCATTAATAATACCATTAATAATACCATTAATAATACCATTAATAATACCATTAATATTGCCATTAATATCACCATTAATATTACCATTAATATTACCATTAATATTACCATTAATATTACCATTAATATTACCATTAATATTACCATTAATACTCCAAACTTTTTTCATTTTTGGAATAACATTTTTTATTTACAAAATCAAGAAGATCTATATAAAAAATAAGTAAATAATTAAAATCTCAAACCACCTGCAGTACAGGACCACAGGTTGTTGTTCCAGAGGATTTGTTAGTTTGTATTTCATTTCTTTATCCTCTATATAACCATTTTCTATTGAAATGAGACCGGAGCAGACAAACGCCTTGTCATCACAACTGTAGTTGAGTCCTGGTTTGAAGCGGTTAGTATGCATCCCAAATGGCAACCCATTTCCCTATATAGTGCACTACATTTGACCAGGACCCAATGGGGGAATAGGGTGCCATTTGGGACGTATGGTAGAAGTTCCGTCCAGTAATGGTTCATAAAGTAGTGGAGTTGTTAGGAAGTAGTGTTGATTAAACACATCAGACCTGTGTTCAAGTACTATTAGAATTTTTTTGCTTTTGATCTAGTTCCAGATGGGTTTTGCAGTTTTGGGACCATTCTCTTGGCCCATTAAGCCAGAGAAGCTCAGTTAAGCCCAGATAAACTATAGTATTTTAACTCCGGTCTGAGACACACTGCTGATTGGTCGTAAATATTTTGTAATTGGTGTTGTTGTGTTTAATTGCATTGAGTGTAAAGCGTCTTGCCCACCTGCCATCTTGCTGACTAAGCTTCGGGCTCCATAATGTTGTGTTTAATTGCATTGAGTGTAAAGCGTCTTGCCCACCTGCCATCTTGCTGACTAAGCTTCGGGCTCCATAATGTTGTGTTTAATTGCATTGAGTGTAAAGCGTCTTGCCCACCTGCCATCTTGCTGACTAAGCTTCGGGCTCCATAATGTTGTATGTAATGTAATGTCTTCGGCTGGAGCAGATTACTACTTTTAATTATTTATTCTTATTCTTAATTATTTAATGAATTCAATCACTCAATCAATCAATCAATCAATCAATCACACGCCATACCTAGACACCACAGCCCGTCTCCAGTGTATCCTTCTGGACAGGTGCAGGTCCTCTCCCCAGGTAACGTCTTGATGCAGTTGGCAACCTGAGCACAGCCTCCGTTCCCAGTGGCACACAGGTTCACCTCTACGGAACATTAGTTTACCAATTTAGTTTACCATTTAGTTGACCAGTTTAGTTGACCCCCACAGTGACCGTACGTACATACCCCAACCAGAAGCCATAGATTACAGGCAATATCCGCACTGAGCTAAAGGGTAGAGATGCTGCTTTCAAGGAGCGGGACTCTAACCCGGACGCTTATAAGAAATCCCGTTATGCCCTCCGATGAACCATCAAACAGGCAAAGAGTCAATACAGCACTAAGATTGAATCCTACTACACCGGCTCCGACGCTCGTCGGATGTGGCAGGGCTTGCAAACTATTACGGACTACAAAGGGAAGCACAGCCGCGAGCTGCCCAGTGACGCGAGCCTACCAGTCGAGCTAAATTACTTCTATGCACGCATCGAGGCAAGCAACACTGAAGCATGCATGAGAGCACCAGCTGTTCCGGACGACTGTGTGATCACGCTCTCCGTAGCCGATGTGAGTAAGACCTTTAAACAGGTCAACATTCACAAGACGGATTACCAGGACGTGTACTCTGAGCATGCGCTGGCCAACTGGCAAGTGTCTTCACTGACATTTTCAAAATGTCCCTGACCGAGTCTGTAATACCTACATGTTTCAAGCAGACCACCATAGTCCATGTGACCAAGAACACCAAGGTAACCTGCCTAAAGGACTACAGATCCGTAGCACTCACGTCTGTAGCCATGAAGTGCTTTGAAAGGCTGCTCATGGCTCACATCAACACCTTCATCCCAGAAACCCTAGACCCACTCCAATTAGCATACCGCCCCAACAGATCCACAGATGATGCAATCTCAATCGGACTCCACACTGCCCTTTCACACCTGGACAAAAGGAACACCTACGTGAGAATGCTGTTCATTGACTACAGCTCAGCGTTCAACACCATAGTGCCCTCAAAGCTCATCACTAAGCTAAGGACCCTGGGACTAAACACCTCCCTCTGCAACTGGATCCTGGACTTCCTGACGGGACGCCCCCAGGTGGTAAGGGTAGGTAACAACACATCTGCCACGCTGACCCTCAACACAAGGGCCCCTCAGGGGTGCGTGCTTAGTCCTCTCCTGTACTCCCTGTTCACCCATGACTGCGTGGCCAAGCATGACTCCAACACCACCATTAAGTTTGCCGATGATACAACAGTGGTAGGCCTGATCACCAACAACGACGAGACAGCCTATAGGGAGGAGGTCAGAGACCTGGCCGTGTGGTGCCAGGACAACAACCTCTCCCTCAACGTGATCAAGACAAAGGAGATGATTGTGGACTACAGGAAAAAGAAAAGGCCCCCATTCTCATCGATGGGGCTGTAGTGGAGCAGGTTGAGAGCTTCAAGTTCCTTAGTGTCCACATCACCAACAAACTAACATGGTCCAAGCACACCAAGACAGTCGTGAAGTGGGCACGATAAAACCTTTGCCTACAGAACATTTGGACCTAACGTGTGCCAGGAAAACATTCCCCACACCAGTACACCACCGCCACCAGCCGGTACCGTTGACACCAGGCAGGATGGGGCCATGGACTCATGCTGCTTCCGCCAAATCCTGACTCTGCCATCAGCATGACGCAACAGGAACCAACAGGAATATTTATTTCCCTCATTAAAATGCAAATCAATTTATAACATTTTTGACATGCGTTTTTCTGGATTTTTGTTGTTGTTATTCTGTCTCTCACTGTTCAAATAAACCTACCATTAAAATTATAGACTGATCATTTCTTTGTCAGTGGGCAAACGTACAAAATCAGCAGGGGATCAAATACTTTTCCCCCCTCAATGTAACTGCCAAAATAAAGGAAACACTTGAGTAAATGAGGGATACAAAGTATATTGAAAGCAGGTGCTTCCACACAGGTGTAGTTCCTGAGTTAATTAAGCAATTAAAACATCATCATGCTTAGGGTCATGTATAAAACATGCCCAGTTGCCCATTATTTTGGCTACCATAGAAGAAGAGATCTCAGTGACTTTGAAAGAGGGGCCTCAAAGGAGCGTAGGGGGTTTAAAGGGAGTGTTTGTGCGTCTCAGTCACCAGATGATCTCAACCCAATTGAACACTTATGGGAGACTCTGGAGCGACGCCTGAGACAGTGTTTTCCACCACCATCAACAAAACACAAAATGATGGAATTTCTAGTGGAAGAATTGAATCGCATCCCTCCAATAGAGTTCCAGACACTTGTAGAATCTATTCCAAGGTGCATTGAAGCGGTTCTGGCTTGTGGTGGCCCAACGCCCTATTAACACACTTTATGTTGGTATTTCCTTTATTTTGGCAGTTACTGAGTGTACAAAACATTATGAACACCTGCTCTTTTCATGACAGACTGACCAGGTGAATCCAGGTGAAAGCTATGATCCCTTATTGATGTCACCTGTTAAATCCACTTAAATCAGTGTAGATGAAGGGGAGGAGACAGGTTAACTTAATATTAGGAAGGTGTTCTTAATGTTTTGTACACTCAGTTTATACTAATATTTAAGATATACAGTAAATAACAGACTCATATACAGAAATAGTCCCCCCATTTTTGGTGACCAAATGTATTGGGACAAAATCATGTGTATATTTGTATATACAGTATATGTACAGTGGCTTCGGAAAGTATTCAGACCCCTTGACTTTTTCAACATTTTGGTACGTTAAAACCTTATTCTAAAATGGATTCAATAAAACAATTTCCTCAGCATTCTACAAACAATACCCCCATAATGACAAAGTGAAAACAGGTTTTTAGAAATTTTAGCAAATTTATAAAAATCAAAAACAGAAATAACTTATTTACACAAGTATTCAGACCCTTTGCTATGAGACTCGAAATTGAGCTCAGGTGCATGCTGTTTCCATTGATCATCCTTGAGATGTTTCTACAACTTGATTGGAGTCCACCTGTGGTAAATTCAATTGATTGGACATGAGGCACACACCTGCCTACATAAGGTCCCACAGTTGACAGTGCATGTCAGAGCAAAAACCAAGGCATGAGGTCGAAGGAATTATCCGTAGAGCTCCGCGACAGGATTGTGTCGAGGCACAGATCTGGGGAAGGGTACCAAAACATTTCTGCAGCATTGAAGGTCCCCAAGAACACAGTGGCCTCAATCATTCTTAAATGGAAGAAGTTTGCAACCACCAAGACTCTTCCTAGAGCTGGCCATCCGGCCAAACTGAGCAATCGGGGGAGAAGGGCCTTGGTCAGGGAGGTGACCAAGAAACCGATGGTCCCTCTGACAGAGCTCCAGAGTTCCTCTGTGGAGATGGGAGAACCTTCCAGAAGGACAATCATATCTGCAGCACTCCACCAATCAGGTCTTTATGGTAGAGTGGCCAGACGGAAGCCACTCCTCAGTAAAAGGCACATGACAGCCCGCTTGGAGTTTGCCAAAAGGCACCTAAAGACTCTCAGACCATGATAAACAAGATTCTCAGGTCTGATGAAACCAATATTTAATTATTTGGCCTGAATGCCAAGCGTCACGTCTGGAGGAAACCTGGCACCATCCCTACGGTGAAGCATGGTGGTGGCAGCATCATACTGTGGGGATGGTTTTCAGTGGCAGCGACTGGGAGACTAGTTAGGATTGAGGGAAAGATGAACAGAGCAAAGTACAGAGAGATCCTTGATGAAAACCTGCTCCAGAGCGCTCAGAACCTCAGACTGGGGGAGAAGGTTCACCTTCCAACAGGACAACGACCCTAAGCACACAGCCAAGAAAACGCAGGAGTGGCTTCGGAACAAGTCTCTGAATGTCCTTGAGTAGCCCAGCCAGAGCCCGGACTTGAACCTGATCGAACATCTCTGGAGAGACCTGAAAATAGCTGTGCAGCAACGCTCCCCATCCAACCTGACAGAGCTTGAGAGGATCTGCAGAGAAGAATGGGAGAAACTTCCCAAATACAGGTGTGCCAAGCTTGTAGCGTCATACCCAAGAAGACTCAAGAATGTAATCTCGGCCAAAGGTGCTTCAACAAAGTACTGAGTAAAGTATGACAATGTATGCACTCACTAACTGTAAGTCGCTCTGGATAAGAGCGTCTGCTAAATGACTAAAATGTAAATGTAAATGGTCTGAATACTTATGTAAATGTAATATTTCAGCAAAAAATTCTAAAAACCTGTTTTTGCTTTGTCATTATGAGGTATCATTTGTAGATTGATGAGGGGAAAAAACTATTTATTCAATTTTAGAATAAGGCTGGAACCTAACAAAATGTGGACAGTGGCTTCAGAAAGTATTCACACCCCTTTACTTTTTCCATATGTTGTTGTATTACAGCTTGAATTTAAAATGGATTAAATGTAGATGTTTTGTCACTGGCCTATCTAGCTGGTAACTCTAATGAACTTATCCTCTGCAGCAGAGGTAACTCTGGGTCTTCCATTCCTGTGGCGGTCCTCATGAGAGCCAGTTTCATCATAGTGCTTGATGGTTTTTGCAACTGCACTTGAAGAAACTTTCAAAGTTCTTGAAATGTTCCGTATTGACTAATCTACATGTCTTAAAGTAATGATGGACTTTTGTTTCTCTTTGCTTATTTGAGCTGTTCTTGCCATAATATGGACTTGGTCTTTTACCTAACAGGGTTATCTTCTATATACCACCCCTAACTTGTCACAACACAACTGATCGGCTCAAACGCATTAAGATGGAAATAAATTCCACAAATTAACTTTTAAGAAGGCACACCTGTTAATTGAAATGCATTCCAGGTGACTACCTCATGAGGCTGGTTGAGAGAATGCCAAGAGTGTGCAAAGCTGTCATCAAGGCAAAGGGTGGCTACTTTGAAGAATCTCAAATATAAAATATATTTTGATTTGTTTAAGACTTTTTTGGTTACTACATGATTCCATTTGTGTTATTTCATAGTTTTTATGTCTTCACTATTATTCTACAATGTAGAAAACAGTACAAATAAAGAAAAACACTGGAATGAGGAGGTGTGTCCAAACCTTTGACTGGTACTGTATGCAAATTAGATATTTCTGTATTTAATTTTCATAAAATGTGCAAACATTTCTAAAAACATGTTTTCACTTTGTCATTATGGGTTCATTTTTGTAGATGGGTGAGAGAGAAAAAATCCCTTTAATCCATTTTGAATTCTGTCTGTAACACAACAATATGTGGAATAAATCAAGGGGTATGAATTATTTCGGAAGGCACTGTATACATCCATAATCAGAATAGTCCTTCTACAACAGTAAAATGTTAGAGACCTGTGCAGACGGTTCCGTTTCCCGTGAAGCCTGCAACACACTGGCATCTAGGGCCCTCTGTTTCAGTCTCCCTGGGCTTACAGCTGAAACACACACACACAAGATCAATCATCAATCATCTTTTGATTGAATGACTCAGCCTCTGGTCAAAAGTAGTGCACTACATATAGTGTGACCTCTAATTCTCCTGTCTTATCTGTTGTCCAGAGTGATCTTAGGCATGCTCCCTCTAATTCTCCTCTCCCTCTCTCTGCCCCCCTCCTCCTCCTCCTCCCGGAGGACCTGAGCCCTAGGACCATGCCTCAGGATTTCCTGGCCTGACTCCTCTCCCCTCCCCCCATGTTCTCTTATAATCTCCACCCGGCACAGCCAGAAGAGGACTGGCCACCCCTCGGAGCCTGGTTCCTCTCTAGGTTTCTTCCTAGGTTCTCGCCTTTTTAGGAAGTTTTTCCTAGTCACTGAGTTTCTGCAGCTGTGTTGCTTTGTCTTCGGGGTCTTTGGGGCACTTTGCGACAACTGCTGCTATAAAAAGGGCTTTATAAAATAAATGTGATTGATATAGGGAATAGGGTGCCATTTTGGAACTTACTTTGCATTTTCATCACAGATTCCGCCACAGGCGTCAGACAGGATCTCTACAGAGAGAGAAAGAGAGAGAGAGAGTGAGCGGAACGTTTCTTACCCCAGAATCACATTTCTATCCCAAATGGCACCCTATTTCCTATATAGTGCACTACTTTTGACCAGCTCCCATAGGGAATATGGTAACATTAGGGTCTTCGGCCTACAGTACTGTACATACCCTTGGAGTAGTTGACTCCTCTCCCACCCTATGGTCCCTGGTCAAAAGAAGTGCACTACATAGGGAATAGGGTATCATTTGGGACACAAGCCTACAGTACATACCCTTGGAGCAGTTGACTCCTCTCCAGCCTTTGTAGCAAACACACCTCCCGTTTCCTGTCACTCCATCCAGACACTTCCCATGAGCACAGCTGCACTCTGACCAGGCAAACACATGTTGTAACATAGTTAGCATAGTTAGCACAGCTGCACTCTGACCAGGCAAACACATGTTGTTGTAACATAGTTAGCATAGTTAGCACAGCTGCACTCTGACCAGTCAAACACATGATGTTGTAACATAGTTAGCATAGTTAGCACAGCTGCACTCTGACCAGGCAAACACATGTTGTTGTAACATAGTTAGCATAGTTAGCACAGCTGCACTCTGACCAGTCAAACACATGTTGTTGTAACCTAGTTAGCATAGTTAGCACAGCTGCACTCTGACCAGGCAAACACATGATGTTGTAACATAGTTAGCATAGTTAGCACAGCTGCACTCTGACCAGGCAAACACATGTTGTTGTAACATAGTTAGCATAGTTAGCATAGTTAGCACAGCTGCACTCTGACCAGTCAAACACATGTTGTTGTAACATAGTTAGCATAGTTAGCACAGCTGCACTCTGACCAGTCAAACACATGTTGTTGTAACATAGTTAGCATAGTTAGCACAGCTGCACTCTGACCAGCCAAACACATGTTGTTGTAACATAGTTAGCATAGTTAGCACAGCTGCACTCTGACCAGGCAAACACATGTTGTTGTAACATAGTTAGCATAGTTAGCATAGTTAGCACAGCTGCACTCTGACCAGTCAAACACATGTTGTTGTAACATAGTTAGCATAGTTAGCACAGCTGCACTCTGACCAGTCAAACACATGTTGTTGTAACATAGTTAGCATAGTTAGCACAGCTGCACTCTGATTAGTCAAAGTAAAGAAAACAACATCCTAAACACCAATAATATTCTACCCTCTAAAGTTTGTAAATGCATGTACTTCTATTTCTTAGATATTGTGGTTGTATGTGTGTTTTCTATTATCTAAAACATATAATCAGTCAGTCAATGACCCAGTCAGCCAGGCAGTCAGCCAGCCAGTCAGTGAGTCAGCCAGCCAGTCAGTCAGTCAGCCAGCCAGTCAATGAGTCAGCCAGCCAGTCAGTGAGTCAGCCAGCCAGTCAATGAGTCAGCCAGCCAGTCAGTCAGTCAGCCAGCCAGTCAATGAGTCAGCCAGCCAGTCAGTCAGCCAGCCAGTCAATGAGTCAGCCAGCCAGTCAGTCAGTCAGCCAGCCAGTCAATGAGTCAGCCAGCCAGTCAGTGAGTCAGCCAGCCAGTCAATGAGTCAGCCAGCCAGTCAGTCAGTCAGCCAGCCAGTCAATGAGTCAGCCAGCCAGTCAGTCAGCCAGCCAGTCAATGAGTCAGCCAGCCAGTCAGTCAGTCAGCCAGCCAGTCAATGAGTCAGTCAGCCAGTCAGTGAGTCAGCCAGCCAGTCAGTCAACCAGCCAGTCAGTGAGTCAGCCAGCCAGTCAGTCAGCCAGTCAGTCAGTCAGTGAGTCAGCCAGTGAGTCAGCCAGCCAGTGAGTCAGCCAGCCAGTCAGTGAGTCAGCCAGTCAGTCAGTCAGCCAGCCAGTCAGTCAGTCAGCCAGCCAGTGAGTCAGCCAGCCAGTCAGTGAGTCAGCCAGCCAGTCAGTCAGCCAGCCAGTCAGTCAGTCAGTCAGCCAGCCAGTCAGTCAGCCAGTCAGTCAGTCAGTCAGTCAGTCAGTCAGCCAGCCAGTCAGTCAGCCAGTCAGCCAGCCAGTCAGTCAGCCAGTCAGTGAGTCAGTCAGCCAGCCAGTCAGCCAGCCAGCCTGCCAGCCAGCCAGCCAGCCAGTCAGTCAGCCAGCCAGTCAGTCAGTCAGCCAGTGAGTCAGTCAGCCAGCCAGCCAGCCAGCCAGCCAGTCAGCCAGTCAGCCAGGCTCAGGCCTGTGTACAGTGTATATATAATATACCTGACTTGCAGTCCTTGCCGTAGCGTCCCGGTTCGCAGGTCTCACAGACTGTCCCGTGGAAACCCTCGTTGCACAGACACTCCCCAGTCCCCAGGTTCCCATCCATACACCTGCCCATAGAAACACAATGAACACAATTAACCTCTGGCAATTTGACTGGAAAACCCATGTGTACATTCAAAATGGCCATCAGACAGTCCACCTATTATGGCATCATTGACATGAGTGGGGACGGCCGTTCTACTCATTCTAGTCCTGTGTACTGTACCTTCCGTTCCCTGAGCACCAGTTGTCCAGCTCCCCAGGGCATTTAAAACAGTCATGACCAAAGTATCCCGAGCAGCACGTGTGGTCCTGCAACACAGCAGACAGCGCTCGTCAGAGTGTGAGTACTTTTGACCAGAGCCCTATGGGACTATATTCATTCATACAAGATAAACTGGTTTTATTATCTGTATTGGCTGGGTTGTTTGTTGTATATGTTAAATTTGTGAGTTGTGGAAAACTATTTATTCTCAGGGACAATAACATTTATCAATCAACCAATAATCAACCAAAGAATCCTCCTGTATGATATCTCACCTGTGTCGTCCTCAAACAATCAATAATGCAGCCCGCCACGGACTTCCTCCTAGAGCCCACCCGCTTCCTGTACTTGCAGTTAGATCTCATGTTCGGAGGGTACTGACTCATGACCTACATTGCAGGACAACATAATTAACAGAGACACAACGTACAGTGCCTTGCAAAAGTATTCATCCCCCTTGGCGTTTTTCCTATTTTGTTGCATTACAACCTGTAATTTAAATGGATTTTTATTTGGATTTCATGTAATGGACATACACAAAATAGTCCAAATTGGTGAAGTGGAATGAAAAAAATAACATCTAAAAAATAAAGTGGTGCGTGCATATGTATTCACCCCCTTTGCTAGAAGCCCCTAAATAAGATCTGGTGCAACCAATTACCTTCAGAAGTCACATAATTAGTTAGATTGCACACAGGTGGACTTTATTTAAGTGTCACATGATCTGTCACATGATCTCAGTATATATACACCTGTTCTGAAAGGCCCCAGAGTCTGCAACACCACTAAGCAAGGGGCACCACTAAGCAAGGGGCACCATGAAGACCAAGGAGCTCTCCAAACAGGTCAGGGACAAAGTTGTGGAGAAGTACAGATCAGGGTTGGGTTATAAAAAAACATCAGAAACTTTGAACATCCCACGGAGCACCATTAAATCCATTATTTAAAAATGGAAAGAATATGGCACCACAACAAACCTGCCAAGAGAGGGCCGCCCACCAAAACTCATGGACCAGGCAAGGAAGGCATTAATCAGAGATGCAACAAAGAGACCAAAGATAACCCTGAAGGAGCTGCAAAGCTCCACAGTGGAGATTGGACTATCTGTCCATAGGACCACTTTAAGCCGTACACTCCACAGAGCTGGGCTTTACGGAAGAGTGGCCAGAAAAAAGCCATTGCTTAAAGAAAGAAATAAGCAAACACATTTGGTGTTCGCCAAAAGGCATGTGGGAGACTCCCCAAACATATGGAAGAAGGTACTCTGGTCAGATGAGACTAAAATTGAGCTTTTTGGCCATCAAGGAAAACGCTATGTCTGGTGCAAACCCAACACCTCTCATCACTCCGAGAACACCATCCCCACAGTGAAGCATGGTGGTGGCGGCATCATGCTGTGGGGATGTTTTTCATCGGCAGGGACTGGGAAACTGGTCAGAATTGAAGGAATGATAGATGGCGCTAAATACAGGGAAATTCTTGAGGGAAACCTGTTTCAGTCTTCCAGAGATTTGAGACTGGGACAGAGGTTCACCTTCCAGCAGGACAATGGCCCTAAGCATACTGCTAAAGCAACACTCGAGTGGTTTAAGGGGAAACATTTAAATGTCTTGGAATGTCCTAGTCAAAGCCCAGACCTCAATCCAATTGAGAATCTGTGGTATGACTTAAAGATTGCTGTACACCAGCGGAACCCATGCAACTTGATGGAGCTGGAGCAGTTTTGCCTTGAAGAATGGGCAAAAATCCCAGTGGCTAGATGTGCCAAGCTTATAGAGACATACCCCAAGGGACTTGGAGCTGTAATTGCTGCAAAAGGTGTAAATAGTTATGCACGCTCAAGTTTTCTGTTTTTTTGGTCTTATTTCTAGTTTGTTTCACAATAAAACATATTTTGCGTCTTCAAAGTGGTAGGCATGTTGTGTAAATCAAATGATACAAACCCCCCAAAAAAATATATTTTAATTCCAGGTTGTAAGGCAACAAAATAGGAAAAATACTAATGGGGGTGAATACTTTCGCAAGCCACTGTAGCTCCACACTAAAGGATATGGGGGAAATGCACATTTGGAATAACGTTTAAGACCGGTGGTTACAATGCACTCATAACTAAACTCGGTCAAATTATTATAATATCATCATAGTGCTAAAGATATAATAGCAGGAACAGTGAATGGAAATAAATGAATAAAGATAAAAAGAGAGATAGAAAATGTTGGTTGTTTATGTTTTAATGTTTAGAGTCTTACTGGTTTGTAGCTAACAAAACATCTGGGTTTTTCATCACAGGCTGAGCACCTCCCCTTGGAAAAAGAACAAAATACACACACGCACCCAGAAAGAGAAAACATTCCTCTGTAAGATACTGTACTGTACTGATACATTTCTATATGACATAGTTCACCACATCACATCACGACCCTCCTGTCTCCATCCATCAGTAAAGCTGACTGACTGACTCACATCACACACACACACACACACTTACTCTGACCCGTAGGACCACGTCTTGGCTGCATCGGTTCTTATGGACCTGTAAGACTTGGGGAACAGCCAGGACCACCCCGTATCTCGTCTCACTGTGGCTCCCATCCAGCAGAACATCGTTGGCCAACGTCTGAAACACGTTCAGATAACAACCAAAATAAGTGCTGCAAAAATTCCTGTAACTTTCCCAAAATTCCCAGGTTTTCCTGAAATCCTGGTTGGAGGATTCCATATTTCCTGCTGATTCCCTCCTTATTATGGGAATCTTCCAACCGGGAATTTTTTGAAAACCTGGAGCTCTGGTCAAAAGTAGTGCCCTATAACCTTTAGACGTCCCAGGGGACAACGACTGCCCCTATAACCTTTAGACGTCCCAGGGGACAACGACTGCCCCTATAACCTTCAGACGTCCCAGGGGAGAACGACTGCCCCTATAACCTTTAGATGTCCCAGGGGACAACGACTGCCCCTATAACCTTCAGACGTCCCAGGGGAGAACGACTGCCCCTATAACCTTTAGATGTCCCAGGGGACAACGACTGCCCCTATAACCTTCAGACGTCCCAGGGGAGAACGACTGCCCCATTTCATTTAATCCATGAATATTGCGTATAATTGATCTGTAAAATCTATCATTCGCGAGATGGTGCTGTAGAGCTAAATGAAACATAATTGAGCAAACAAACACTGAGTCGAGCGAGCAGAGGATGGGTCCCACGAGCACATAGGCCAGTCGAGAGCGCTGACCGTAGTCGAGCGAGCAGAGGATGGGTCCCACGAGCACATAGGCCAGTCGAGAGCTCTGACCGTAGTCGAGCGAGCAGAGGATGGGTCCCACGAGCACATAGGCCAGTCGAGAGCGCTGACCGTAGTCGAGCGAGCAGAGGATGGGTCCCACGAGCACATAGGCCAGTCGAGAGCGCTGACCGTAGTCGAGCGAGCAGAGGATGGGTCCCACGAGCACATAGGCCAGTCGAGAGCCCATAGTAAGTCAATAGAGCTAACTGGCTAGCTACTACTGTTAGCGAGCTACTACTGTTAGCTAGCCAGATAGCCACGAAGAATTGTTAGCTGGCTACCCACAAAGAATTGACACCTTGGATAACATTGGTTTTAGGTCATTTTTGCCTGTTACACTATCTGGTTAGCTACATTATTATGATTCACATATAGCTAGCTGATAGTTATTAAGTAAAACGTTTGCTTTGTGTACATCTTGTTTCGTCTCTATTGCCATTGACCTGGCTAGAAGAAGGAAGGTTCAGTGAATGGGTTACTCCATAGTAAGTCAACAGGGCTAACTGGCTAGCTACTGTAGCTAGCCACAAAGATTTGTTAGCTAGCTAAAGAATTGACATCTACCTTGCGTAACATTAGCTTTAGGTCATTTTTGCCTGTTTAACTAGCTAGTACTCAAGAGAACGTCCTCGGAGAATGCACTTGGAGCATGAGAGTGTGGAGCAGGGTAGTATGGGAAACACCCCAGGTGTTACAAAATATTAAATAAATAAAATCAACCAATCAATCAAACCAATTAACTAATTTAAAAAAATCAATCAAACAACTGCCAAATAGTGAATAGCGTACCTCATTGTTCTTGCCCAGGTGGAACATGATCTGATAGGCCTTCCCCAGTAACGTGCTCTTCACCATCCCGTCCCGCAGATGATCCGGGAACAGCTGTTCCTGAAGAATGACGTGGTATTTAAATACCTCTTCACCCTGTTGACAAGGAACAACATAGTTATTATGCAACGAGGGCCTGATTCCGATTTAGGAAATTACACCTTTCTTAAGCACGCCTTTCCTGCGCACTTCTCAGTAGTTGGTATTCAGACTTACTTTATGAAGGTGTGTAACGGGCGTGGTTCCCTTGCGCGCTCTGAATAAATGTAATTCAACCGCTGAATATCCTCCCAGTTGCTGGCCAACAGATTTTCTCCTGGAGTTTTCATTCAATGGGGCTTTCAGTACATTTATCTTAAGCCATCCCTTTAAATACGGTGTACCTTTTAGTTATAATTTTGTCGACAGACTCACTAGAATATACTGGTGCAGTTTGAGGCAGTTTGGGGGAGAGTGATGTGGGCGCTGGAGATGTTGGTGTGAGCAGCTGGGTCTGGGCACGGGTGATGTTGGTGTGAGGGTCTGGGTCTGGGCACGGGTGATGTTGGTGTGAGGGTCTGGGTCTGGGCACGGGTGATGTTGGTGTGAGGGTCTGGGTCTGGGCACGGGTGATGTTGGTGTGAGGGTCTGGGCACGGGTGATGTTGAGGATGTTTGTGTGCGTTTTTACGTTGTCCTTTGTGTAGGTTTTGTATTGTTTAACAAATTATGATGAATAAAAACTAAAATGTACCCTTTCTTAAGGGAATATATGCATATTCGTCTCCGTTTCAGCACCAATTGTTAGATAAAAAGATACTCTGATCATGTAGATTATTTAAGGTTAGGAATGTAATTATGTATCATAAAACTGGTTTGAAGAGACTTTATGCATAAAAATAAATAAAACGGTGGTTTGATTCATTCTGAAAATTGCCACATTCAGTTCTTCAACCCATGGTGCTGTTGGAAGATTAGTGTCCATATAATGATAATAGGGAGAACAGTGTAATAACAGTGTAATTAAATGGAATGATAATGTAGGCTATACCAACTGAAGGAACTACAGTGGGGAGAACAAGTATTTGATACACTGCCGATTTTGCAGGTTTTCCTACTTACAAAGCATGTAGAGGTCTGTAATTTTTATCATAGGTACACTTCAACTGTGAGAGACGGAATCTAAAACAAAAATCCAGAAATCACATTGTATGATTTTTAAGTTATTCATTTGCATTTTATTGCATGACATAAGTATTTGATACATCAGAAAAGCAGAACTTAATATTTGGTACAGAAACCTTTGTTTGCAATTACAGAGATCATACGTTTCCTGTAGGTCTTGACCAGGTTTGCACACACTGCAGCAGGGATTTTGGCCCACTCCTCCATACAGACCTTCTCCAGATCCTTCAGGTTTCGGGGCTGTCGCTGGGCAATACGGACTTTCAGCTCCCTCCAAAGATTTTCTATTGGGTTCAGGTCTGGAGACTGGCTAGGCCACTCCAGGACCTTGAGATGCTTTTTTTACGGAGCCACTCCTTAGTTGCCCTGGCTGTGTGTTTCGGGTCGTTGTCATGCTGGAAGACCCAGCCACGACCCATCTTCAAATTTTCTTACTGAGGGAAGGAGGTTGATGGCCAAGATCTCGCGATACATGGCCCCATCCATCCTCCCCTCAATACGGTGCAGTCGTCCTGTCCCCTTTGCAGAAAAGCATCCCCAAAGAATTATTTTTCCACCTCCATGCTTCACGGTTGGGATGGTGTTCTTGGGGTTGTACTCATCCTTCTTCTACCTCCAAACACGGCGAGTGGAGTTTAGACCAAAAGCTCTATTTTTGTCTCATCAGACCACATGACCTTCTCCCATTCCTCCTCTGGATAATCCAGATGGTCATTGGCAAACTTCAGATGGGCCTGGACATGCGCTGGCTTGAGCAGGGCGACCTTGCGTGCGCTGCAGGATTTTAATCCATGACGGCGTAGTGTGTTACTAATGGTTTTCTTTGAGACTGTGGTCCCAGCTCTCTTCAGGTCATTGACCAGGTCCTGCCGTGTAGTTCTGGGCGGATCCCTCACCTTCCTCATGATCATTGATGCCCCACGAGGTGAGATCTTGCATGGAGCCCCAGACCGAGGGTGATTGACCGTCATCTTGAACTTCTTCCATTTTCTAATAATTGCGCCAACAGTTGTTGCCTTCTCACCAACCTGCTTGCCTATTATCCTGTAGCCCATCCCAGCCTTGTGCAGGTCTACAATTTTATCCCTGGTGTCCTTACACAGCTCTCTGGTCTTGGCCATTGTGGAGAGGTTGGAGTCTGTTTGATTTGAGTGTGTGGACAGGTGTCTTTTATACAGGTAACGAGTTCAAACAGGTGCAGTTAATACAGGTAATGAGTGGAGAACAGGAGGGCTTCTTAAAGAAAAACGAACAGGTCTGTGAGAGACGGAATTCTTACCGGTTGGTAGGTGATCAAATACTTATGTCATGCAATAAAATGCAAATGAATTACTTAAAAATCATACAATGTGATTTCCTGGATTTTTGTTTTAGATTCCGCCTCTCACATTTGAAGTGTACCTATGATAAAAATGACAGACCTCTACATGCTTTGTAAGTAGGAAAACCTGCACAATCGGCAGTGTATCAAATACTTGTTCTCCCCACTGTAACAGTGTAATTAAATGGAATGATAATGTAGGCTATAGCAACTGAAGGAACTAACAGTAATTGGCAGTGTAATATATGTGGTCATTAGGCCTACTGACGGTCGATACTGATAGTCTTTCATATTTAACATGACAGAAATAGGAGACAGAGAAAGTCTGGTTATCCTATCATTAAGACATTAGATCATCCCTGCAAGTTAAAAGGCCTTACAGTTTAAATTCTGCATAATGCCACAGCATGTCATAAACTTCACTGTGGGAAAGTTGATATGTTGATATGCTTCAGTTTGCTGCCATATGACTGGTTTCACATTTTGTCTCCAGCGACTATAAGGTATAAATATATCTAAATATATCTAAAACAAATTGTCATTTATATTTACAATCCCCTTCTCCAAACGGATTACTCATTTACCTGGCTCTTATCAATAGCTCTTATCAAGTTGTAAATTATAGTACATGGAGAATGGTGTTATTTATATCGGTCGATATAAATCGGTATATAAGTCGATGCTTTTCCCACTTGGAACAGACAGGTTCACTAGACCTTATTCATGGTTTCCTATCGGATAAGGTGGTGGAATTACGAGGAAGTTAAGTCAAGGTCAGAATACAGCGTATCTGGAGACACACCTCCATTTGCACACACTGTATATATATTTTCTGTTGTATTTTTGACTTTATGTGTTTTTTTACCCCATATGTAACTCTGTGTTGTTGTTTTTATCGCACTGCTTTGCTTTATCTTGGCCAGGTCACAGTTGTAAATGAGAACTTGTTCTCAACTGGCTTACCTGGTTAAATAAAGGTGAAATAAAATAAAATAAAAAATAAAAAATGTATTAGATCTCCACCCATCGCTAGCACCTCCATTTATTAGATCTCCATCCCAAACGAATAGCTGGTGAATAAACGTGCTGTTATCATGCTTAAATTCAAGGTCAGAATACACATTAAAAAAGAGAAATGCATTCCATTTCCGCGCGCTTAACTCGGGTCAGAATCGGGCACTGAATTAATAAAATAACAGACTGAAATACCGGATGAATGGCTCGGTTCCGAATCCCCATTCCCGTCTTCTAAACGGTAGGCATTTTAGCTACGTGAAGATACAACGTTTTATAGCATGTGTAATTTCGAAAATCGAGTATGCTTTAAAAGGCCAGGATATCATACTAATTTCGGCTTTTCATCTAGTAGAATTCGATGCAGACTTTTGAGGAAGAGAATAGTATTTTTCTAATGTACCTGTGTTTGACCACAGCTGATATTCAGAAATGGTGACGCGCTGTCCCAAAATGAATGAATGGCGGGAAACAACGCAATTCCACATGAGATGATTCATTCTCAGGATGGCTGTGCCGATATGCAGTATGATTATTAGACACTATGTCGTTTTAGTAAGTAGAAGGAAAGACAGATTTCAGACCAGTGATTTACTTCACCTCCAAACACGGATCACAATATTTTATTTATTTATTCCTTCATTCAGTTGTGTAGAGTTGGTCTGGCTCAGGTAATCTCTACCTACCAGTTGTGTAGAGTTGGTCTGGCTCAGGTAATCTCTACCTACCAGTTGTGTAGAGTTGGTCTGGCTCAGGTAATCTCTACCTACCAGTTGTGTAGAGTTGGTCTGGCTCAGGTAATCTCTACCTACCAGTTGTGTAGAGTTGGACTGGCTCAGGTAATCTCTACCTACCAGTTGTGTAGAGTTGGTCTGGCTCAGGTAATCTCTACCTACCAGTTGTGTAGAGTTGGACTGGCTCAGGTAATCTCTACCTACCAGTTGTGTAGAGTTGGTCTGGCTCAGGTAATCTCTACCTACCAGTTGTGTAGAGTTGGTCTGGCTCAGGTAATCTCTACCTACCAGTTGTGTAGAGTTGGTCTGGCTCAGGTAATCTCTACCTACCAGTTGTGTAGAGTTGGTCTGGCTCAGGTAATCTCTACCTACCAGTTGTGTAGAGTTGGACTGGCTCAGGTAATCTCTACCTACCAGTTGTGTAGAGTTGGACTGGCTCAGGTAATCTCTACCTACCAGTTGTGTAGAGTTGGACTGGCTCAGGTAATCTCTACCTACCAGTTGTGTAGAGTTGGTCTGGCTCAGGTAATCTCTACCTACCAGTTGTGTAGAGTTGGACTGGCTCAGGTAATCTCTACCTACCAGTTGTGTAGAGTTGGTCTGGCTCAGGTAATCTCTACCTACCAGTTGTGTAGAGTTGGACTGCTCAGGTAATCTCTACCTACCAGTTGTGTAGAGTTGGACTGGCTCAGGTAATCTCTACCTACCAGTTGTGTAGAGTTGGTCTGGCTCAGGTAATCTCTACCTACCAGTTGTGTAGAGTTGGTCTGGCTCAGGTAATCTCTACCTACCAGTTGTGTAGAGTTGTATGCAGTATGATTATTAGACACTATGTCGTTTTAGTAAGTAGAAGGAAAGACAGATTTCAGACCAGTGATTTACTTCACCTCCAAACACGGATCACAATATTTTATTTATTTATTCCTTCATTCAGTTGTGTAGAGTTGGTCTGGCTCAGGTAATCTCTACCTACCAGTTGTGTAGAGTTGGTCTGGCTCAGGTAATCTCTACCTACCAGTTGTGTAGAGTTGGTCTGGCTCAGGTAATCTCTACCTACCAGTTGTGTAGAGTTGGACTGGCTCAGGTAATCTCTACCTACCAGTTGTGTAGAGTTGGACTGGCTCAGGTAATCTCTACCTACCAGTTGTGTAGAGTTGGACTGGCTCAGGTAATCTCTACCTACCAGTTGTGTAGAGTTGGACTGGCTCAGGTAATCTCTACCTACCAGTTGTGTAGAGTTGGTCTGGCTCAGGTAATCTCTACCTACCAGTTGTGTAGAGTTGGTCTGGCTCAGGTAATCTCTACCTACCAGTTGTGTAGAGTTGGTCTGGCTCAGGTAATCTCTACCTACCAGTTGTGTAGAGTTGGTCTGGCTCAGGTAATCTCTACCTACCAGTTGTGTAGAGTTGGACTGGCTCAGGTAATCTCTACCTACCAGTTGTGTAGAGTTGGACTGGCTCAGGTAATCTCTACCTACCAGTTGTGTAGAGTTGGTCTGGCTCAGGTAATCTCTACCTACCAGTTGTGTAGAGTTGGTCTGGCTCAGGTAATCTCTACCTACCAGTTGTGTAGAGTTGGACTGGCTCAGGTAATCTCTACCTACCAGTTGTGTAGAGTTGGTCTGGCTCAGGTAATCTCTACCTACCAGTTGTGTAGAGTTGGACTGCTCAGGTAATCTCTACCTACCAGTTGTGTAGAGTTGGACTGGCTCAGGTAATCTCTACCTACCAGTTGTGTAGAGTTGGTCTGGCTCAGGTAATCTCTACCTACCAGTTGTGTAGAGTTGGTCTGGCTCAGGTAATCTCTACCTACCAGTTGTGTAGAGTTGTATGCAGTATGATTATTAGACACTATGTCGTTTTAGTAAGTAGAAGGAAAGACAGATTTCAGACCAGTGATTTACTTCACCTCCAAACACGGATCACAATATTTTATTTATTTATTCCTTCATTCAGTTGTGTAGAGTTGGTCTGGCTCAGGTAATCTCTACCTACCAGTTGTGTAGAGTTGGTAATCTCTACCTACCAGTTGTGTAGAGTTGGTCTGGCTCAAGTAATCTCGGACGGCGTCGTCGTGTGGAAGTAGGATCGTATAATCATAGACACCAATCTCATCTGTCAGGTTGTAGAGCTGAGGGAGATTACGGGAAAAACAGAAAACAAAAGTCAATATTATCTCTGATCGAGCTGATAACAGACACATACTGGTATGTTAAATACAGTCAAATACTTGAACGCTGCTCTATTCCATTGGTTCCATTGTAACAGATAAATCAAAACACACGTCACGTATATGAAAGGACTGGAGGGAGGCAGGTTGGACTTAATGTGGAGGAAACGTGAATATTTTTTACCTTGGTCCTGGCATGTTACAGCACAGCACAACTGTCCTGTCCAGGGGGGTGTACCTGTCTACAACCTACCAAAACGAACGTACCAGTGCTGCCTGTGTAAAGAGACTGGAGGTAGGGGTGTTGTTGAGGAACTGCATCAGGCCTTGGGGTTCTGGTGGGATGTCTGATAGGGGGGGGAACAGAACCTGAAAACACAAAACCATCAACACAGGATTCATTCCACCTCTAACTCTAACAACCCTTGCTTGTGTAAAAGCTTTTGGAATATTTTATTAAAACAAATTTGTGTAAAGTTGATTATATCGTTAGCGTTTTGGCATTTGTCGCGCATCAGTATGAAAAAATGTATGCACTCACTAACTGTAAGTGGCTCTGGATAAGAGCGTCTGCTAAATGACCAAAACGTAAGGTAAAAACGTATATCCACAGACCAAAGCAGTGACCTGTTACACGTTACCGTGTTAATGATGTGGATGTATCCGTTGATAGAAGGGATGTTGGGGGTGAGGATGGTCGCATTCTCTATCCTAACTTCCTGAAACATAAGAAGAACGCACAGTCAGATCATCTTGAGACAAGGCTGTAGACGCTATGGCAACAACAACAACATCTTCAACTTACCCCATCAACAGTTTTGACCTCCCATGTAGTAGGTAAGTGTAGAGTGGGTAACCGCTGGTTGACCTGCTTGTCCAGGTCTTCTACGGAGAATATTCCCTGGAGGAAGTGGGCTCTGGGGAGGAAGAGGAAGAGGAGGAGCCCTGGTTAAATAAATGTTAAAGGTAATTTCCCGATTGAGCCGACATATGTAGCTTTTTATCGTGAACGTGATCTCCACGAATGCGGGAATATTGCCTTTTAAAAGCAGCATTGTCTACAACCCGTGATTGGATTGAATCCCGGCCATAGGCTCCGTTTCCCTCAGGTACAGAGCTAGGATCATCTTACCGTGACCCAATCCAAACCGTAACCAGTGAGGGAAAAAAGTATTTGATCCCCTGCTGATTTTGTACGTTTACCCACTGACAAAGAAATGATCAGTCTATAATTTTAATGGTAGGTTTATTTGAACAGTGAGAGACAGAATAACAACAAAAAAATCCAGAAAAACACATGTCAAAAATGTTATGAATTGATTTGCATTTTAATGAGGGAAATAAGTATTTGACCCCTCTGCAAAACATGACTTAGTACTTGGTGGCAAAACCCTTGTTGGCAATCACAGAGGTCAGATGTTTCTTGTAGTTGGCCACCAGGTTTGCACACATCTCAGGAGGGATTTGTTCCACTCCTCTTTGCAGATCTTCTCCAAGTCATTAAGGTTTCGAGGCTGACGTTTGGCAACTCGAACCTTCAGCTCCCTCCACAGATTTTCTATGGGATTAAGATCTGGAGACTGGCTAGGCCACTCCAGGACCTTAATGTGCTTCTTCTTGAGCCATTCCTTTGTTGCCTTGGCCTTGTGTTTTGGGTCATTGTCATGCTGGAATACCCATCCACAACCCATTTTCAATGCCCTGGCTGAGGGAAGGAGGTTCTCACCCAAGATTTGACGGTACATGGCCCCGTCCATCGTCCCTTTAATGCGGTGAAGTTGTCCTGTACCCTTAGCAGAAAAACACCCCCAAAGCATAATGTTTCCACCTCCATGTTTGACGGTGGGGGTGGTGTTCTTGGGGTCATAGGTAGCATTCCTCCTCCTCCAAACACGGCGAGTTGAGTTGATGCCAAAGAGCTCGATTTTGGTCTCATCTGACCACAACACTTTCACCCAGTTCTCCTATGAATCATTCAGATGTTCATTGGCAAACTTCAGACGGGCCTGTATATGTGCTTTCTTGAGCAGGGGGACCTTGCGGGCGCTGCAGGATTTCAGTCCTTCACGGCGTAGTGTGTTACCAATTGTTTTCTTGGTGACTATGGTCCCAGCTGCTTTTAAGATCATTGACAAGATCCTCCCGTGTAGTTCTGGGCTGATTCCTCACCGTTCTCATGATCATTGCAACTCCACGAGGTGAGATCTTGCATGGAGCCCCAGGCCGAGGGAGATTGACAGTTCTTTTGTGTTTCTTCCATTTGCGAATAATTGCACCAACTGTTGTCACCTTCTCACCAAGCTGCTTGGCGATGGTCTTGTAGCCCATTCCAGCCTTGTGTAGGTCTACAATCTTGTCCCTGACATCCTTGGAGAGCTCTTTGGTCTTGGCCATGGTGGAGAGTTTGGAATCTGATTGATTGATTGCTTCTGTGGACAGGTGTCTTTTATACAGGTAACAAGCTGAGATTAGGAGCACTCCATTGTGCTCCTAATCTCAGCTCGTTACCTGTATAAAAGACACCTGGGAGCCAGACATTTTTCTGATTGAGAGGGGGTCAAATACTTATTTCCCTCATTAAAATGCAAATCAATTTATAACATTTTTGACATGCGTTTTTCTGGATTTTGTTGTTGTTATTCTGTCTCTCACTGTTCAAATAAACCTACCATTAAAACTATAGACTGATCATTTCTTTGTCAGTGGGCAAACGTACAAAATCAGCAGGGGATCAAATACTTTTTTCCCCTCACTGTAAGTGGGGAAAATAACGCTTGAAAGTTGTAATAGTAGAATTCACAAGGTGCAATTTCTAAATTGGGTCGTGCCTCATCAATTCCTCTTGTCATGTCAGTCATTGTATTTCATTTAGAGAGCTATTATAACTTGTCAGAAATGTCCAGATCAACTACCTCATGTCAGCTAACGTTTTTTTAGTCCATAGATTTTGTAGTAATGTTCGAGTCACTCAAATATCACAGGAATACACATTAGACATGGCAACATGTATAGAATTGCAAGAAAATTAGCTTTAAAACTGCTAAGTTCTCTGTACTCCATGACACAATGTATAGAATTGCAGGAAATAAGCTTTAAACCTGAAACATGTTCTCTCTGCCAACAAGAGGGGAACCGTTTGTGTCATGAACAATGCTTGTACCCATAGAAAGAGACGTGGGGCGCAGGATGTTCCCGAATGCTTGAAGGGGGCCTGAATGAAAAAGTTTGGGAACCCCTGTCTTAGAGCAGATTAACCTGGGCCTCTCTCTTCTCCTGGTACATTCACTTCAGATCGACATTATCAGTCAATTACTTTAGAACAGTGATATTCAAAGTCGCGACATCTGCAGTGGGGTCGACAAAATACAGACACAAATGAAGTAACAACAACTCAGAGTACAGATGAGTGTTATTATTAGATTTGGGACAGTATACACAGGCTTTTGAGAAAGACAATTTGAATGGTACCATTGTATTGAGTAAATGTATTTATTGGTTTCTTTTCATGATGAAAAGAGATGAAACTGTAATGATTTCAAGGTTATTTGTTGATGTAAAAATCAAAAATGTACAGACTTTAAGGTCGTGTCATTAGATTTGGGGTCGTGATACATTTTTGCGAAACAAAATAGGGTCCCCAGAAACTTGTGCAGAAAAAAATGTGGTCCACTCTGAAAAAGTTTGAATACCACTACTTTAGAAGGTAAGCTATGGTAAGGTATGGTAAGCTATGGTAAGGTATGGTAAGGTATGGTAAGGTATGGTAAGGACAATTACTTTAGAAGGTACGGGAGCCTGTAGCGGTCAAACCAGAAGTCCTGCTCAGAGGTGGTTAGATTGCGGATCACGTCCCTGGAAGGCACCAGAGCTGTTATATTCCCACTAAGGTCAAACTCTGACGACCTCTAAGAGAGGGGAAAGAAACAGAAAGGATCAATCCCTGACCTTCAGAAAGAGCCTTCAGAAAGAGCCTTCAGAAAAAGCCTTCAGAAAGAGCCTTCAGAAAGAGCCTTCAGAAAGAGCCTTTAGAAAAATCCTTCAGAAAGAGCCTTCAGAAAGAGCCTTCAGAAAGAGCCTTCAGAAAGAGCCTTCAGAAAGAGCCTTTAGAAAAATCCTTCAGAAAGAGCCTTCAGAAAGAGCCTTCAGAAAGAGCCTTCAGAAAGAGCCTTCAGAAAGAGCCTTCAGAAAGTGCCTTCAGAAAGCGCCTCCAGATAGTATTCACACCCCTTCACTTTTCCACATTTTGTTGTTACAGCCTGAATTTAAAATTGATTACATTGAGATTTTGTGTCACTGATCTACACACAATACTCCATAATGTCAAAGTGGAATTATGTTTTTAGAAATGTGTACAAATAAATAAAAAATGAAAAGCTGAAATATCTTGAGTCAATAAGTATTCAACCCCTTTGTTATGGCAAGACTAAATAAGTTAAGGAGTAGAAATGTGCTTAACAAGTCTCACTCTTTGTGCAATAATAGTATTTAACATGATTTTTGAATGACTACCTCGTCTCTGTACCCCATACATACAATTACCTGTAAGGTCCCTCAGTTGAGCAGTGAATTTCAAACACAGATTCAACCACAAAGACCAGGGAGGTTTTCCAATCGTTTTCCACCATTCATTTTTCCGTAGGGGATTTTAAAAACACTTAAAATAAGGACTGTGTTTCGTGTAGGCTTACCCTGGCGTGAAGTTTTGATAACCATGTAAATCTCTCTAAAGCAAGGTGACTTTTAGCATGGTGGTGGCTGCATCATGTTATGGGTATACTTGTCATCGGCAAGGACTAGGGAGTTTTTTGGGGGGATCAAAATAAACAGAATGGACCTAAGCACAGGCAAAATCCTAGAGGAAAACCTGCTTCAGTCTGCTTTCCAACAGACACTGGGAGACAAATTCACCTTTCAGCAGGACAATAACCTAAAACACAAGGCCAAATATACACTGGAGTTGCTTACCAAGACGACACTGAATGTTCCTGAGTGGCCGAGTTACAGTTTTGACTGAAATCTGCTTGAAAATCTATGGCAAGACTTGAAAATGGCTGTCTAGCAATTATCAACAACCATCTTGACAGAGCTTGAATTTTAAAAATAATAATGTGCAAATATTGCACAATCCAGGTGTGTAAAGCTCTTAGAGACTTACCCAGAAAGACTCACATCTGTAATCGCTGCCAAAGGTAATTCTAAAATGTATTGACTCAGGGTTGCGAATACTTAAGTAAATTATATATTTCTGTATTTAATTTTCAATACATTTGCTAAAATGTCTAAAAACACGTTTTAACTTTGTCATTATGGGGTATTGTGTG